AGAAAGGAGAATTTATAATGGGTCATATCAGTTTTGAACATATTCTCATTTACACTGATGATCTGTAGAGAGTTTCCACAGCAGGGCAGTTACTGAATTGCCTTGCTCAGTGTATCAGCGGCATCCTAACTGGCCCATACTGCTGTCCAGATTGCCACCGTTACAGTGATTACGTAACGGCAAGCCTTCTCCAGCAGCGGTGTCTGCTGAAGCCTCATGCTGTCTGTTGGCCTGTTGTTCATGTCGACATCTCTATTCGAATGAAGTTGTTTATTAAAAACAAGTTTAGATCGTGCAGTTCAGCGAGCCAGAGGAGGAGTGGAAATCGGTCTTTCCCTTTGCTTTCTTCTGAGCGTCTGTAGTCTTGGCCTGCTGCCCAGTCCGTCCTGCGGCCCACTGGGTTTGCAAGGGCCTATCGGTCGGTGTGCTGCTTTAAAATGAGACGCAGTGGGTGAGTGATGTAGCCAACCTCTTCCACTCTGGAAAGCGTTGGATGGAGGTGGTGGCTTGTGCTCACAAGGCCCTCAAGACGTCTCGGTGTCTTATTTGGATGTTGTATGTTCTCTGCATTTTGCCTTGTAAGCGGCAGCATCGAACTGACAATGGGCAACTCCTTTACGGTGAGCTCTAAAACTGTCTGATCAACAGTCAGTAGCATTGCTGTACGTCGTCGATCCTTTCTTCCAGGTGCGTAACGATGACGGCAAGGTGATACGCTTTCACTGTAAACTGTGCGAGTGCAGCTTTAACGACCCCAATGCTAAAGATATGCACCTGAAGGGGCGCAGGCACAGACTGCAGTACAAGGTAAGAGAGCCTGGGTCTGAACCTTTTCTTTCTTACTGCTGGAGCGCACTGGAAAGTGCTGTGGGCAGTCAAGGCAGTTCATAGCTCAAGACTGAACCTCGTTTGCAGCAAAATCTTTTTTTTTTTTAGGTCTTCCAAACAAAGTTTAAGAATAATCTCTTCACAAGAACCACCTTGGTTTTGGTTTATAATTTGTAAACTATCTGGGGGGGATCAGGATACTTCAGTTTAATCTTGTTGATGAGAACGTTTTACCAGCGTGTACATTTTGGGGGGCAAGGATTAGGCCTACATGGGGATCTCCTTGATCAGACGTGAAGCCATATATCCACGACTTCCTTCCCGTATGACTGCGATATGGAGATTGTGACGCCGCTGATGTCATTTGCAAATCGCACAAGTCTGTTTTGGCCTGCTGTCCGTCGCTGCAGATTGCAGACCCACTGTGCCGCCTTTCACGTGATTATACCCTGCTGATATTTCCAGATGGATCCTATCGGAGTGTTCCATGGTTACTTGCCTTTTAAAGCCATAGCTGTGCCCTTTAACATGGCATATAAGGAGCGATGCATTTCACGTGACTGAACAAGTTATGAAAGGAATGGGAAGTGTCATGGGTGTTGGAGCGAAATTAGAAATGGCTGCCTGGCTTACCTCGGGTGCAGACAATCATGGGAGTTCAATCCACCGTTAGGAAAATGCACTGTAACAAGGGCTAGTATTGCTGGGGGGTTGGAGGCGTTATTATTATAAAACTGTATTACGTATGTATCGTATCTACAAAGGTTTTTTTGTTAGTTGTGTTTATACTTTACACCTATGAATTTTCCTGCAGTAACATGAACTGTGGTTCTTCCTCGTGCTGTTTTCGGTAAGTTGTATTTTCCAGCCTGGCAGGTTAGGGTTTGATGAGGGCTACTTGTTATTTTTCGCCAATTTTATTTCTAACCATTTAAATGGCAGTCTCCATCAAGTCCCATTCAGTGATTCAGAGCAGCACTGTGTGACCCAATTTCAACTGTGAACTTTCTTGTAACGCTCCTATGCTTGTGGAGAATTAAATGCACATGAAGACCAAGAGGCTTAAGGGAATGTCCTATGCTGACGGGCTGAGGGAACTGAAACTTTTTAGTCGTGAAACCTCGAAGGGGACCTGATGCACGTATTCAAAATCCTCAAAAGCGCTGAATCTGAACCCAGCGGATTTCTTCAGAATTAACAGTGCGACATGAGCCAGAGGGCACAAGTGGAAGAGGGAGTGTGTGTAAATGCGTACAAGACTGAGCAGAGGAGGCACTTCTTTATCCAGTGTTGTAGAAGTATGGATCAAGCTACCCAGCAGTGCTGTCGAAGCAGATACCCTGCCTTCTTTCAAGTCGTGGCCGGATAACTCTTGACTACCAGATGGGCTGGATAGGCCGAGTGGCATCCTCTCGTTAGTGAATGGTCTTGTGTAAAGGCGCAATGGACCCCATTATGCTGTGCTTGTGAATTTCATGTTTATGAAAGCAGATTTCAAACATGGAAAAGTGGCTAAAGACCAGGTTAAATTCTCAAGCACATTAAAATGTAGTTCAACTTTAACAGTCCAATTAATGTGATGTTTCCTTCATCTCTTTTTTTTTTTTTTTCCACGTGCTGTTTAACTGATGGGTTAGAAGATGCATTTTTGCCAGAAATGTCCCCAGTACTTGGGAGACGATCCTCTAGGGGTAATGGGTGGGCACGAGCCTGTGCTAACCTGCCGGGTGGGGTGTCTTTCTCGCGCCTGCAGAAGAAGGTCAACCCCGAGCTGCCGGTGGAGATCAAGCCCAGCAACCGAGCCCGCAAGCTCCAGGAGGGCAAGCTGAGGAAGCAGAAGCAGAAGAGGCGGCGGGATGAGGAGCAGCGCTGGCACATGGAGATGAGGTCAGCCCCCGGGCGGCGCAGGTTGATGAGGTCACTGCCTGGGGGAGGGTCGGGGGTGGGAGGAGGGATGCCAGCAGGGGAACACCCCACCAATCGCCTCTGCACTCCGGGGCTAAGCACAGCTTGGCCGAGAAATCCCGAATCATCGTTTTGTTTTCTCCAATATACCCCTGATGAATCCCCAGTTTGCATTCGTTTCGGTTTCCTGTGGTACAGGATGTTTCTCACGCGACATGCGGCCCTTTTCTTTAGCAGGCGTTACGAGGAGGAGATGTACTGGAGGAGGATTGAGGAGGAGCACCGGCGCAGGATGGCCCCTCCACCTCCGCTGATGGGTCGCCCCGGCATGCCTGTCCCCCCCCTGCTGGTAAGCTGCATAGCTCTTGCTGAGCTCAAAACTGGTGTATATCAAGAGATGTCTGTGCTCACCGAGACAATACAGAAGCTCTAAGCGTTTTTTTACCTGAGTAAGTTTTTGTAAGATAGGAATATAGGAGCAGACTCTTATTTTTTTCCAGTTTTTTCATTTGTTTAGAATCGCCAGTTATTATCTTATGAATTTCCCACCAACTATGGAATCCCCATTTATTTTGGGGGTGTGGCTCTCTAGCCTCAACCAAAATGCCACACAGTGGAGAGCAAGAGCATGGAAATGCCACCTGTCCCATCTCCAGAGTCCTTTGTTTTCTGTTGCACTGCGAGCTCCTGTCTTACCAATGTTACTGCAGGCCTTTGCTTGCCAACCTGGTGATGTCCCAGGCTCGAGCACCCGATGTCTGGATCGTGGAATGTGATTTGCTCTCCAAAAGTGCTCTTTCTGGTTGGCTCACTCGATAGCGCTCTTACTTTAGTATTTTAATACATATTTAACCATCAGCAAAGTTTCCCCTAAATTCTTTGCAGTTACGGTGTTCGGACGCGTCTCTGCTTTAACGGGAGGGCAGCGTGGCGGCAGTGAAGTGTGCTAAAGAGACCTGGTTTTATTAGCTCTTCTCCCCCAAGCCTCTCCGACGCCCTGACTCTCCCGACGACCGACACATCATGGCCAAGCACTCCAACATCTACCCTGTGCAGGAGGAGCTGCAGGCTGTTCAGAGGATCGTGTCCCACTCGGAGCGAGCCCTCAAGCTCGTCTCCGACTCCCTGCTGGAAAAGGAAGAACCGAAAGAGGACGAGGACAGCAAGGACAAAGTGTAAGAGTCTGTGCGCCTTTTGGGAGTTCCCCCTCTAGGCCTTAAAACCTTTTATCTGTGTGAGTGTGTGCATCACCTGCTCGTTTTTGCCTTGCACTGCAGTCTGGGACCTTTCTGCTTCAAGCATGTTCGAGGGCTGTCCTCCTGAGATGCTAGCTGGTTGCACGCGGTTTTGTTAACACGGGCAGGATGATCCCGTTTTCCCAAGCATCCGATTTGTCCCTTAAAGGGACCGTTGAGCGGCAGTAGCCTGATTGCAGTGTCGCGCGACCTTTCTGTCTGCAGGAAAGAGGATCCTCAGGCTCGGATGCTGAAAGGAGTGATGCGCGTGGGGATTCTAGCCAAGGGCCTGCTGTTGCACGGCGACAGGACCGTGGAGCTAATCCTGCTGTCGGCCAAAAAACCCACCGTCTCCCTGCTCAGCAGAATAGCCGAGCAGCTGCCTAAGGAACTGGCGGTAAGGCTGCATGAACTTTTTTTCCCTCATTTTTCATTCGGGTCTTTTGCCGGTTTTACCCGACTGCTTGTAAAAATGAGTAATAGCACTTTCCCATCAGCTTCCGCTACCCAGCCGTGTGGTTGAAGCCGATACTTTGGCTTCCTTGCAGAAATGGCTGGATGAAATCCTTGGATCGAGTAACTACTAACTACCGAACAGGTTAGGTGTGCCAAATGGCCTCCTCTCCTTCATAACCTTCGCGACAGCCAATTTGGATCCACATCATTTCTGGTGTTTCTTGTGGATTTACACATGTGCTGGCCATGGGGGGGAAAAAGAAAACTAGACTTCACTTTTTTTTTTGAGGCAAAATTCCCTGTGACCCTTGCAATCTGTCTTTTCATGCATGCATGCATTCAGACAGCATCCACTCTAGAAGGAAATGAGCTCCACCTGCCTGTAGCTATGGATGTTTAACCGTTGTAAAGCCTGACTTTGACACAGAGGAGATGTGAGCTTTCATGTCGCCTTGGTGGTCAAGGGTTAAGATTTCTCAATGGGAAGTGTTTTCTTAAAACTCCTTACTTGGATAACTACATGGTAATCATGCATACTGCACTGTGAAAATCTATTAAGCATGAGTCTTCAGGGCTCTTCCTGCAGTGCAGTTAGGAAACCCAGGTCTTTATAGCAAAGTCGGAAACGGTAAAGCTTCTGGAGTGAACTGCTCATAAACATCTGGTGTATTGGTTTTCAAAATCACAAACATTGTGCGTTTGCAGTGTTTTCAATTTCAGCCAAATATTGTGTTTGCAAAAAGGATGCATGTTGTCTTTCTTTGGCAGTTTAAGTACGTCATCATTTAGGGTTTTCATTCATAAAGGGGGTCAGGAATTGTTGTATAGTAGCAAAGGCCATCTTGGTGCAATAAATTACTTGGTACTGAAATAGTTTGGAAATCAAATAAAATTGATCAGTGATTCACTGTTTCAGTGGTGAATTTGTTTGAACACATATTGGTCAGAGGGTGAAAGCTGAAAGGTGACAGTTTTGCAGTGAACTGGGTGCTAAAGTGAGATTGAGACGAGTGTCTTCATGGATGTTGGACACCAACAAAAAGAGTCTTCAGTATCAGAGGTTTTATTTTGTTGAGGGTGGAGGGGTTGAAAATATCACACTTTTAACCAGTATTTACCCTGCTCTCTTCCCCCTTGAAAATAAACAAACTGGAGTCTCTTTTTAAAACGTCAGAAGCACAGCTTGTGGAGAAAGACCTGGGAAAACCTCTCCCTTTTGGAGCTGCTTTTATCACTGGAGCCATTCATGCTGAATGATGAGTATGAATTAAAATCAAACCCATGACTCTGCACTTTTGAATACTATCTAAGGTCTTGGCTAAGAGCGCTCAACCTCAGTGCTTCTGATGGTAGTTTTTGGTTCTTTTGAACCAAATCCTACTTAAGGTGCATGCTGAGGAGGATTGTTTTAGCATCTCAGTTATCTTGAGCTAGAACTGTCGCCTATTATTTTACAGATTTTAGACTCCTTGTGGGTTTTTTTTTAATATCCTGCGACGGAACAGACTTGCATCAGTAGTTTTGCTGAAGTGTCTGCGAAATGTTTTTGCACCTGTTCATTAAGGCAAAGAAAATCCTTGAAATGGAACCTGTAGGCTGTTCAGTTGTATCCATGGTTAAAATTATGCCTTGGCTTGGCCTCTGTGCATCATCTTAGACCCACGCTGCTTGAAGTGAATTTCTGGTGGAGCTTCTTTGACACTGTATGGTTGTCTTCAGTGTGTAGTTGAGGGCATAAGCTGAACTGCTGTTTAGAATTTTTTTCTTAGCTGTTGAAAGTTGACTAAAAACCTCATCTGGAAAGGGGAAAGCCCTTTCTCTGCCCTGAAATTACTTTACCAGGGCGAAAACGTAAAATAGCAGCAATTAAAAATTTTTGGTTCAGAAGCAACTGATTCAGTATTCTACTGAATGCTACGTGAGCAGTACTTTGGTAGTGCGGTTGACATTACTGGCTGCTCTTCAGGTGCTTATGCCTCAAATCAACACTGTAGCGGTCCTACAAGAAGCTTGATCAGAAAGATGTTTACAATAGCAGTCTAAGACATCCTAATCTTTTGAACAAGTGTTATAAGTGGGATGTTCATGCTCTAAGAAGGAGATTCTTCTCTTTTGTGAGTTTGACAACATTCTACACTTGTAAAAGCAATTTTCTCATCCTGTGGGTGTTGTAGGAACTGTTAAAACTTGGGTGTGCTATGTGTCAGATAAGGTGGTAAATGAATGTGTTGTTGGCTTCACTGGATTGTTAATTACCCTTTCCCTTGCCAAGAAAATGTCAGACTCCTTGCTGTAAGGTATTATTTATATTCGCATTGTAAAAGAGCTTTCAAAGAAAATTAAACAGCTCAACGACGGTCATGGTGTCTTTGTTAAATTAAATAAATGGTTGGATGTACAAGCGTTTTGAGTGTTGCCATTTGTTTCTTCCTTCCCTTTACCCCTCCCTTAACTGTGTGGTTTAGGAATAATTTAATACATCTTTCTATTTATCTCAAGTCCCTTTCAACTGATCTTTAGCCCCGCTGCCTGGACATGACAAATGAAACCTACAGAGAGAGATTACAGTATGAGGTCACTCTCCCCAAAAACCCCCTGTTTTTTTCTGGGGGACAAAAAAAAAACCTGATGCAGAGCTTTCAAGGCTCTGTCCTGTGGCATCTTAGATTTTCATTACTCACTATCCAGAGGTCCCGACATTAAGAGCTAACTTAACTTAACTTAATCGGATCTTTATTAAGCTCAATTTCTAGAGTGTTTGTCCGAACAACCTTGCTTGTGTGCAGCCTTAAGCCATGAGCTGTGAAACATGCAGTGGGCTTGCTGACAAGTTCTAAATAGGATTTCAAGCAAGGCCAGACTGTGAGCTAGGAACAAAAACTGTGCATATTATTGCATAGTGTTATGTGATTGAGCTTAGGCATTGTGTTTAAGGTGGAAATATGCCTCGAGTGGGAGATGAGACCTTTGTTCAATTTCTTATGGCCCCACTCCTCCGCCCTCCCCTCCTCTGTAGTGAGTAATTTTAAGTGTCCTTTTAACCGGCAGACGTTTTCTGAAGATCAGTATGAGGTGCAGGCTCACCCTGAGGAAGCCAACATCCTGATTTGTTCAAGCAAGGAACCAAAAATGCAGGTCACCATCTCTCTCACGTCGCCACTGATGAGGGGGGACAGTGCCACTGAGAAGGAAGAAAAGGCAGGAGACAAAACGGCCGAGAAAGGTTAGAGAAGCCACACGCTTTCAGTCCACTGCGCTGTCTCTCTCTAGTGTGCATATAAAAAAAAAAAAAAAACGGACTTTAACATAGTCAAGACGTTTGACAAAGCAGTGTTTCTGGAATTGCCTCCCCCCCCCACATGCTGTGAATTGGCTTTTAAATGGCATTTTCTTGCCCCTCCCCCCCTTTTTAATCCCTCCCATCACTTTATTTCATTTGTGTGCAATTAGAATTATTTAAAGCAGGGATCTCTGACCTTTCTGTGCCCCAGTGGCAGGTGTCTCTGCCAACGAAGACTATTAAGCAGGGGTTTGCGTTTCTAAACTTGGTGCGTTTTGGATGTAACGTGATGATACAGCCATAGTAGTGCCCAGGGATGAGAGTGCATGTGTTACTGGCCATTCAAATGCTTGTTGCTCTAGTGTATTGTTTTATCAATGCACTTTTTCTATCGCTGTCGTACTTAAACGTTTTGCGTTTATCTGCTGCAAGCAGGTGAGGCATTTTACAGAGTAACTAGGAGCATATTTTGGGAAGAATATTTTCTTCATCATATCGTGACTCCTGCTCCTCTCTCTCTCATCCCTGAAGAACTAAGGCAAGCGAAGTCTTTCACCAAAGACTGCAAAACGTTTGGGTCCTTGTAAGCTGTCTCTGATCATTTTGAGGTTTTGATGCTTTTTTTTCCCCCCTGTCCCAACAAAATGAATTTTCTCCAAAAATGGGTTCTTTCAACAACACCTTGTTAGTTTTTTTGCTAATGCATTCGAGGTATGCATTTTTTTTGTAACATTGTTCCTAATTTAATCGAGACCAGTGGAACCTTTGGAGAAAGGGGGGGGAAGATTCAGAGGTCATTGTTTTTAAGTTAAATGTACAATGCCTTATCCATCATTGAGTTCAAAGCAATCAAAATCTCATTTTATTGAGAACTTGAGTTGGCAGACATATCATTTTTGCTCTCCGAGATCTGAGTATCTAATGGAGAAGCTGAATGTAATGTTTGCTGACTCTTAATTAGTATTTGTCCTTCACAATTTGCCTTCTGTGGTGTTAGCAGACCGATGTACACTAGTAACATAGCTGTCACTAAATCACTTCTATGGAAGAGGTGTATTGAACACTATCTTAAGAGCTAATACCCTAGTAATTGTTAATTATCTTGGGAAGTATAGCAGGGATAAAATCCCATCTAATTATTCAACAAGAGCTCACATTTCTTTTGAATGATGCATGTCTCTGCCTTCATTTGTCTGCAGTTTGGGGGAGAGCGTTTGTTTCTTCTGGGATCCGAAGGGTCAGATCTAGATCAGTTTGCACAAATGGTTCTAAACGAATGTTCAGATCTTCTTAAAATAAGGAAGTGCAGCATGCTGATTAAAGAGGACTTTTACTTTTGGCTGTCAGTGGGTAATAACAGGAAGGGCTGTTCTAGCCGAACTGCATGTGAATCTGTTGAAGAATGACAAATGAAAGCGTGCACACACCACTCACAATGGTTAAGCCTGCTTGATAGGCGATAGCCTAGAGATTGAATTTCTCAGAGGATGCCTCATTTGTTCACCTGGCAAGAAGATGCTCTAATCCGACCCGGCCTTCTATTGTGAGTGCTAAAGTCTTTGGTTCCATCAGTTCAGTTGAAAAACAGTGTTCCTAGGAACAGGTAAAGCTTTATTCTATGCTGAAAGAAAAAGAAAGGAGACACAATATGCGACACCTTAAGAAGGTTCCATATCCGAAACAGTCTGCTTTCTTTACCTTTCACCATGGAATAAACATTTACCTCTTCCTTTGCAGCCTGCGATTCCGACGCAGCTCTGTTATCGAATTTCTCGTTCCTTTCCCTAGGTGCTCAGGGGAAGCTACAGGTAAATCTGGAAATGAGAGCCGAAAACGTGGTGTATGAAGCAGAGGGAATTTATTAAAGGCAGCTATGGGACCATGTGCAATAAGCTAGGTGCTGTTGTCTCTCTAGGAGTAGCCGAGTCTGAGCCGGACCCCCCAGATGTCCTGGACAGAAAGAAGTGCCTGGAGCACCTGGCTGCCTTTCGTCATGCTAAGTGGTTCCAGGTGAGGGGCATGTAGCTTTCCAGAAAATCTGCTGTCGCCATTGTGGCAGTTTTTACACCTGTGTATGCTATGGTTTTATGTAGCATAAATATAAAATGCTACAGTTTTACACAGCACATTACAACCTGAAGACCACGGTTGTTTTGAGTTTGGGCTGGTGGGTCTTGAATCAGGATATGGAGCCCAAGTGTCTTTTGGTTTTTTATTCCATCTGATCTCTGAACGACTAATTGGATCAGTTAGGTTGCTTAATGAGGAGTTAACGTGTTTTCCAAATCTCTGCTCGTTTACCATTTAAGGCCATCTACCAAACCTTCAGGAAAGAGGTTGGAGACCTTGTGCAAGGATTCAGGGTGTAAGCTATAGAAAAAGTTGGGCTGTTATGTGGAATTGCAGTATTGGAATAGATATGCGTTTAAGGAATATGTTACCAGACCATTTACATTTTTTTCAGCGTGTAAAAAGTATAATTAATGTAGTATTTTTTTTAATGAAACCTTTCCTTAGTTTTAGAAATTGCTCTAGTTGAATAGAATTGACTGCACATTTTGCATCGCATGCTCATTTATATAATGGTAGGAGTGTTTTACAGGTTTCAGATTACATATACTGTATGAGGTGTAACTTATCTATGGATGCTTACCCTTTTTTTCCCCTGTTTTATCAGTACTGGTTTAGGGGAGGGGTGGGGAATTAAACTTGAGAGTTAATATTATGTTCTGGCATTACATCAGGCTTTCTGTTTAACATGCGGTTTCCTCCTTTGCAGTTCTTTAACAAAACCTGCACTCCGAGCAGGATCACAAAAACTGTTAAATGCCAATGGAACAACAGGATTGTCCAGCAAACCTCTGTGTTCTTCGAGGAATTGCAAGTGGGTGGGATACTGTGTTGTCTTGCTTAGCGGTGATGGGTTTTCTGTCTGATGGCAGGCTCGTGCCAATGGCCGGCAGTCCTGTGTGGTCATCATCCGGATACTGCGGGATCTCTGCCAGCGAGTGCCAACCTGGGGGAAGCTGCCAGGCTGGGTAGGACTCGTCACTAAGCATTGCATGTGAGATCTGCAGCATTAGAAGAAGCACGCCCACCTGTTTCATCTAGCCTAACTAAAACAAATTAACTTCCATTGCTCTTCGGATGGCGAAAGGTCAAATGCAGTTGTCAGGATGATCTGCTTTTTTTTTTTTTGGTCTGGGCTAATGACATGGTCATTGCATTGCGAAGGGAGCTGTTATAGAATTAATTGCGTATAAGCCACCAATGCATGATTTTCCATTTTGCGTAGACGGGCGAGAGTGAGTAACACAGGCAAAGGAGGGTTTTCAGGAAAAGTCGATTATGAAAGATCAGCATAAGTCATCCGGACTTGTCATTGCTGCATAAAGAGAAGTATAGACATTAGCTGAGAGATACTTATTTTGTCTGTTGGCAAACATTTTCCGTCTCGTGTTCTCCCTTAGTTTTTTTTTGTATTTTTATGGGAGTATTAATAGCAGTGTGCTGCCTCTGTATTGCTAGGCTATGGAGCTGCTGGTGGAGAAGGCGATCAGCACTGCGTCTGGCCCTCTCAGCCCTGGGGAAGCCATGCGCAGAGTTCTCGAGAGTGTAGCCTCCGGAATTCTGCTGCCAGGTTTGTGCTTCCGGTCCTCCAACAGCGTGGCTTTGCTGTCGGGATAGACTGTTCTGCGGGTGTGGCAAACCTGCGCACGCTTCTGTGTGCCAGCGAAGACCCGCCAGCAACTCGCACCACTCATTGAGCTTCCCTCTTTCCCCTTCCTCCTCTTATTTTCTGGCTGGATGTGATGGTTGAAGGCCCCTGCAATTTGTAAAGTACTTTGGGATCCTTCCGGGTGAAAAAGGCTCTTGAAACGGCAGGAATTATTTATGTCTTGTGATCTCCACCTGACCTACGTACTTAATTTCCACTCCAGACCTTTTTTTTTTCCTCCTCGGGAGGCTGTGACGCTACACGCTGAGTGCACTGTACCGGATCGGTCATCGAACATGTAGGAACTGCAGAACTGCCAGAGATGGGTTGCAACAATATTTCTGTCCTTCTTGCATAGATGGGCCAGGCCTGCTGGACCCCTGTGAAAAAGACCAAACCGATGCTCTTGAAACTATGACCAATCAAGAAAGAGAAGATATAACTGCAAGTGCCCAGGTATATGAAATCATGTTTTATTTGAACTTTAGTGTAGCAAAACCCAAGGTGGAACATTTTAATTGTGTATACATTTCTGCGATTCCCAGCTCGCCTTCTGTGAGAACACCATGCCTTTTGTCTTGTAGACCAAGTTAGACCACCTCGAGTACAACAGGTCCCTCAATTATCAAAATTGGGGGTGTCGGACTCTGTCCCTGGGACCTTAGTGTCTTTGGTTTTTATTCTAACCTGACCTATCAATCAATTAACCTTACTTACATGTGTTTCTTAAGGTTCTTTACAGATGACAACTCAATTCACTTCATTAAAGGTGCAGTGACCTGTAAAACAGTTTGGAGCCAGTTTCCAAATATTCCAGTTACAAATTACCATAAACATTTGCTAATTAGAAGCACTTTATAAAATCAGCCTTTTCTTGGCTTGATTGGACCTATGTGCTGCAATACTTGGACAAACCTCCCTCAGCTCTTCAGCTGCTGCTGTTTAGAGACCTAGAACTCCTGCAGACGCCTTGGCCCTCACACAACTGGAGTTCAACCCCCCTGTTTAAGGGCATGAATATTAGAAATCACTGCTAGATTTTTTTTTTTTGTTGCTCTAGTCTTTTCGGAGGATATGCATTTCAGGTTAGTATGTAGTACAGAAATATTCTCTCGGAAGATTTTTAAAACCAGAAAATTTGATGCAGCAAGGCAGCGGAATTCTGACCCTGTCCCAGTCTCTTGCATGCCTATCCTTGCAGTCAGCCAGTTGGGTGCTGCTATTGGGGCATTCCTGTTCATGGCTATTACTGTGACCCAGGTTTGAACCCGCAACTCCAAGGAGCACCATACCAGTTGAGACCACTCAGAAGGATCAGTTCTCTTAGCAGCCATAATGCCGGCAAGCCTCATCTGTTTGTGCTGCAAATATAAACAAACGCAGCATCATCGTTCAGCAGGTGGATGAGCAGAGAGCAGAAACTGTACCCAGACTGGAACAGTCTTGCTCCCAAAATGTCACACCACTATTCCCACACCAAACAACAACAAAAAAAGGACCAGTTGAAACCTGCACAAGGGGGTACCGGCAGGAACAATCTCCAAGGGGTGAAGTAGATTCTGTGGTTAAGGTGGGGAAAAACCATTTCAGACCCCTTTTAAGGAAAAACAAATTAAGTCCCTTTAGGGTAGTTTTGTAGGTGTTTGCATATAGCCTTGTGCTGATGCCTCCTTTCCGAATCCCCTTATCCCAACAGCACGCCCTGAGGTTACTGGCGTTCCGGCAGATCCATAAAGTCCTGGGGATGGAGCCGCTGCCGGTACCAAAAGCCCGTGCCAGCGCCCGGAACCGGAAGAGAAGACGGGATGCCACCGAATCCGGAGATGGAGAGGGAGAGGGCGAGGGAAAGAAGGACAAAAAGGAAGATACAGACGATGCCTAACCACTGTCGGAGCTGCAAACCGCTCAAGAGCAAAGCAACTTTTTTTTATGTATACATGACTATATATACACTATATAAGTTACTGTTTAGTATATGACATTTGGCAGTTTTTAGAGGGGAAGATGGGAGCAGAAGTGGCAGAAAGCCTTGACTGCCATTCTTTCCCTTAACGTACTGTAGTTTTTTTTTTTAATCGTGCTTCAGACTGGTTTTGGCATCACGTAGGAAAAAAATAATTGCATCATTCCATTGTGCAAATCTTTGCCCCCCTGACTACTGTATCCCCATCTAATGTTCCAACCACTGTTAGGATTTTTTTTTTAAGCCTGAGCACTTTCGTACTTGACGTTCATTTCAGCTCCTTTGTGAGCAAGAGAACTGAAATCGTGTACAGAGGCCAGTTTATTTAACTCCTCGTTAAGCCAGACTCCAGTGTTTATTTTTTAGGTTGCATGTTTAATTCTGTGCAGAAAGAAGGCTACGCAGGGACAGAGCACCTCGGCGTAGAGCGCGTGGTCAGTGTTGCATGAACTTCGCAGAGGGGTTTGTGCTTTGTAGCATTCACCCGGCTCTGGAATACGACATTGTGGATTTTCAAAGAAATCCAAAAAAAGAATTCGGGTTTCTAGAGCTGTATTTTTGTACTTGATTTACCGTACCCAAAATGCAACAAGGTATGTGGTATTTGGTGTGTGCACTAGGAGCTTTTCATGTCGGAAGGTGCAGTCTTTTAAATAACACTACTGGGGAAGCAGAAGGAAATGGGCAGGAGTGGGGATGTCAAGGGGAGACCTTGGGGGAAGGATTCCCAGATTTTAGATTTCTCATGGGGAAAGAGAAAAGGATTCTCCCCAGGCAGGGGTGGGGAAAACAAAAAAGCAGAACAGCCTCTGTTTGCTGCTTTGTAAAAAAAAATCTTTTCTGTCAAGTTGGTGTTCGCTTGTAAAACTGAACACGTGCCAGAGTGTGTGCACAAGCAGCCTGAGGGGTGCAGGGTGGTGGAGCAGAAGCACCCCGGTCCTGTGCCTGTGCCACGCCCCCGTAGCTGCTGAAAGTCAGAGTCACAGTAGATGCTGCCTGCACTAGGCCCTTTTCCCTTGGTGAGGGGGCACATCATGAAATTGTCGTTTGGTTTCAGAAATAAATTTAAATGACTTGTTAAATCTCTCACCCCTCGAGTGCACGATCGGCTGACCTGAGGCTGAGGTTCGGTTGCAAGTTGTCTGTACCGGAGCCCACAGCAGAACGGAGGCTATTGGACTCCCAGGAAGTGCAGGAGTGCCAGTGCAGCTCCAAACTCTCACTCCAGGAGAAGAGTTTAACCAGCTCAATTGTGCAGCACTTGTGCAGAGAAACTGGATAAAAGCAAAAAAAAAAAATTGGGACTCTTTGCTATTAAAGTTGGGGATGTTCAGGTGTAACTTGGACCTGGGCTTTATGTTATCCACTTTCCTGTTGTGTTAACTGGCAAAGATGGGAAAACTTGTGAATAGTCCTGCTTTTTTTTTTCCTAAGAGGATGGTGATTCCTTTGGTGAACCATCTTGATATCCATTATGTGGGGGGTGGAAATACCTTATCTGTAAAGCTTCTCAGTGAAGCTAATTTTGGAGAACAACAGTGAAGTCCTTCAGCTTGATGAATAAATGCACTGTTCTGTGTGCATTTTTTAAATAAACTTGTGTATTATGGTCACTTTGATTTGTAAAAAAAAAAATTGCAAGGTTCATAGTCCTGTTTACTTCTCAGCGATTTTTATTTTTGAGGATGTTACTTTTTGCCAGTTTTTATTTTGTATGTGTTACAAGGACAGTGTGTATGTGGCTTTAATATTTGAATGTCTTTGTAGTGCTGCCTAAAAAAAAAAAGACAATTAAAGAAGTTAAGCTTCTCATTTGCCTTTTCAATACATATAGTGTATACCTAAACAGGAATATTCTGCTAGTGTTAAATAGGTGCACCGATAAAAAGAAGTGAATACTGTACTGACAAAGCACAGAAAAGGTATTGGATGTGAAGACAGCCCAGCCAAAACCCTTCTTTAATCGGAGATCCTTGGATCGGTTAGCTACTAGTAAACAAGTGAGCTAGATGGGGAGAAGGGCCTCTTGTTTTCAACCTTTGTTCTAGATCAGTGGATCTCAGTCCTGGTCTCAAGAGACCTAGCCTGGTCTTTTTTTCTACGGTGTTGTTAGTGTCCTAACAAAATACCTTCCCCTTGTTTAAGATGTGAAACCAGTGGAAAATGGGTCGGGCAGCACACTCGCGCAGTGGTTAGCAATGAAACTGGAGCCCTGGCTTCCATTCCAGACCTGGGGTGCGGTCTGTGGGGGGGTTTGCATGTTCTCCCCGTGTTCTTGTGGGTTTCCTCCAGGCGCCCCAGTTTCCTTCCACAGTCCCGAAGCCATACTGGTAGATTGTCTTATGGGAAAAAATTGGCCCTGGGCAGTTTGTGTCTGTCTGTGCCTGGTGATGGACTGCCATCCCATCCAGCATGTACCCTGCCATGTGCCCATTGCTTGCTGGGATAGGCTCTGGCACCCCTGTGTCCCTGTACTGGATAAAGTGGGAAGAAGATGGATGGATTAAAAGGACTAAGTGAGACAATTAGTTCAATTTAAGTAATCGGAGAAACAAGTAGTGAAGGGGGAGAAAACAAGGTGGGAAAGCACCAACCACAAAGCTTCGCAATGGGTGGAGTGGGTGCCAGCATATAAGGAGGAGTCCTCTGCAGCCAGCAGCACAGCAGACGAAACGGAAACCTCTGTAGGGCAACTGAAGAGAACTAAAAACCATTCCTGTAACTTGCTTATTATGGCAAATGTCGCATCTGGGAACCAGCTGTTTTATCATGAGGCAGAAACATGAATCCACGGGTCACAAGTGGAAACCACGTGCGTACAAAGTGGAAGTGTGTTTAAAAGCCGGGGCGTGACTCAACCCACAGGGTTGGGGGATTGTGGAACAAGTAACTGATCTCTGCTGTTGGGGGAAAAACTGGTTTCTTTCAAGGAATGGCTGGAAGAGATCCTTGGATCCATCAGCTCCTAACTCCCAAAGAGGACACATGGTGTCCTCTCCCTCGTAACCTTGTACAATCTCGCTCTGAATACAGGTGCAAGACGGTTTGCAATCCCTTCAGCACCAGGGCAGAGCTAATATACGTATCGCTCGGTATAACTCCTGTGCAGATCCTCCACTGGGCTGTCCGAACAGATCCACTGTATAGGAAATTCAGGTGGAGAGCTGCGTCAGCATGCGTAGGCTGCAAAGGAACATGTATAAGTAATAGGTTTATTCCATGCTAGAAAAAAAGAAGAAAGAGAACGAAACGTTGTGTTCTCTTTCTTTTTTTTTCAGCATGGAATAAACCTCTTACTTGTTCCACTGTATAGGAATGTTATTTAGATGCACCATCAGTCTAGTGGTGAAAGGTTTCACTGTTTCTTTAAAGCCTTATGCCCCCCCCGTGTTCCCTAGACTGACCCCATGTTGTGGATACTATGCAGATATACTGGATATCCCCCCTCAGTAGCCGGTACAACAGCCTGTCACAAATACTGTATCCTGACCCTTTACTGCCCCCAAAAGTTTATAAGTGCTGACACCCCCTAGTTATTCTATGTCCTACTTTCTTTTTACAAAATAAAGCTGAAGAGCGATCACACCCACCCCTTTAGCCTAGTGCATATATGAATTAATTAATGCATTATTTTCATTCGAAGCTTTTTTTTTTATCGGCGTGTACCCAAGGTTTGCCGAATAGTATTGCGAGAGCCAGAGGCGATCTCTTGAGATAAAAATCAAACAAAACGGCCAAAACACCGGAATAACTGCGGGCCTAGGTACCCTCTTCGTGTGCGTGTGTGTGCCCTGGCGTCGAGAGCTGTCGGCACCCCCGCCGCCCCCCCCCCTTCGTTTCTCCGAGCCTGAAGAGAAAGCTTCTGCACTGCACAAACGAGGAAGTGAGCAGTGGCCGCCGGCCTCCTTCCCTCCGTGTCCGCCAGTCTCTCCTTGGCAAGGAGAGGATATAATGCAGCACTTGTCTTGGCTCCTGTGCGCTGGGCACCCCTCACCTCGGCGCTGGAAGCAGGGCGACTCCGGGAGACGACACGGCGAGCCGCGCAGAGCCCGGCGGAGAGAGAGGCGCACAGCGGCAGGTAAGCGACATTGAGGATCAATACAAGGTTAAGTACATCAGCCGTTTTTCATTATTATTCATTCTGTACCGAACGTAAGAAGGTGCAGTGCACCTCTCATTGGAAAGCGCCCCCGCTTATTCGCTGACCGTCTTTTTGCCGTTTTTCGTCCGTGAGAAGAGCCATAGGAAGCGCCTGAGGATTGTTGTCTTTGTAACAAGTGCACTTCTGCATAATTGAACGTGGTGGACTTTTCTACGCTCATCTGTGTAAAGGTTGCCTGCGATGCGCTTGTGTCGTGTGAGTCTTGGTTCAAGGTAAGGGGGATAAAAAAACTGCTTTCTAACAGAGCTCTCCTTCTGTCGTTTAGGATTTGATTGAAATATCCATGAAATAACATACCAGCTGGCTCCCAGAGATGGCAACAGTAAGTTCTGGTTTTGTTGGACCGGTGGAAGTGTTATATGAATAGACGATGCTTGATTTGAATAAGAGCTCACTGTCGTTAGGTCTAGACGTGGAGAGGGGACAATAATGTTCACTTGACTAGCGATTCATTCGGTTAAGCAGGTGCTATAAAGCTGCGTAATAGTTTTCTTTACGGTTCTTGTAGTAACAGACATGCCCACGCCCCCCCCAAATAAAAGAAGAGAAAAGAAATTGGACTTAAAAAAAAAAATCTCCTCTCAAGCGAGACATTTCATGTACATTTTTTTTCCTGGTGTTCAGGCGGTTGTGCGGAAAACCAAAAGCTTCACCCCCTGTGTCAGATGCAGCAGCCAGTGCAATGGTCAGTGTTGTGAAACACTGGGTTACTCTGTTGAGAAACGAAAGCCCGTACACTGGAATTGTTTGTCGTAATAAAACTGAAGCACCGCTGGGCGATGTGGATAAGCCAACAGAAAATATCACTGCTGTACCTTTTACTAGATATCAAACTGCTGTGCGCGTAACCTAATTTTTGTTTTTTCATTTACCTCAGTGGTTGAGTCATTTCCTTGTCAGTTTCGGAAATTAAGCCTTAAAACAGTGGTAACTGCTGACAAAACACTTGTCAGATGGAGATCATATTTAAGTCTCTTGTGCTTGCTATTAGTAGCTTTAAATCTCACAGTGCTTTGGGAATGCTGTGAACTGATATTTCAGGACCACTGGATTAAAAATAAAGTTTGGATTTGGGCAGATTTACTAAAAGAACTCCACCACAAAGTGTTGGACACATTTCGTTCCAAGTCTGATGAGAATGTGGGTATTAAGGAGACCTCAGTTTCATTTTGTTGAAACACTGAATTCATCTTCAATGTTTCCCCCTTTTTCACCGGTGCTCAGCGTGATGTGACCAGTTGGAGTGTACAGGTATCAGGCTGCTTCTTACTTCTCACAAAGACGGGGGTTTAGAACACCATCCTTTCATTTTCTAACCACTTCATCCAATTCCGGGCCATGGGGGAGCCCTGGCCTATCCCAGCAAGCAATGGGCACAAGGCAGGGTACGCCATGGACAGGACGCCAGTCACTCACAGGGCAGACTCAGACATAAACACTCACACCAGAGCCAATTTTCCCAGAAGCTGATTAACCCACCAGCGTGTCTTCGAACTATGGGAGGGAACCAGGGGAAACCCATGAGAACATGCAAACTCCTCCCAGACAGCGGCGCAGGTGCAGAATTGAACCCAGGGCCCCAGCGCTGTGTGAGGCAGCAAGTAAAACACTGTGCCCCCCCTTCCGCCCTCGCAGCCCCATCTGTAAAGGGAAAAACCGGTGATTTAAGGAAGGGTGGTTTCCAAGTGTTACAACGTTCTGCCGTTGTCAGACACAAGCGCAGGGCCATGAATGAATCTCAGACCTTTGTCCCTGTGCTGTGGGAGCTGGCTTCTGTCCAGCGGCTTTGTAATGGCATCGATACGGTAGAAATAGCTCCGAAACAGATGTTGTAGAGCTAGAGTGCAGCCCTGGTTTCAGTTACTGAATTTAAATAGCTGTCGCTTCCTCTTGCTCTTCTTCAGAGGGGAAGTTCTGAAGGGTCACTGGGGAAATAAAACACATGCCAGCCAACAGCGGCACCTCGCCATAACTGAAGGAGCTAAGAGATGTATTTTGAGCCCATCAGTGGTGACTCCTCTAGTCTTTCAAAGTTGCTTGGATTATTTTCTTAGACAGCGGCTCACAGTTGCGGCAGCAATGCTAACCACTGCCGCAGCACTGGGTGGACCGTGACGACATTTGATACTCTTTTGAAATGGGCAACACAAAAGCCACCACTGCGCGACCTGGTTAACTCTGCTGTCCCAGCGACCGCTGGATAAGAGGAGTGAAACTAGGCCAAACGATGACAGCCAGCACCATTGGCTTGAAGGCACAGCGACAGGGTCTTTGAAGAGACCCCAATGCATGCTCTGTCCTCAGGCCTGTGTGTCCGTCTCCCCTTCTCTCCGCAGAAGAACTGGGTGCCCGGCACGCAGTGTGTGGCCAAGAGCGACCACACCAAGCCCAAAGCTGGCGAGCTGGCCTACCGTAAGGGAGACATCCTCACCATCGTGGAGATTGGAACAGTAAGTTCATTTCCCCTCCGCAGAGCAGCACTGAGCTCAGCATAGCAAGCAGACCCCTTACCATCTCGTGTCTCTGCAGTGGCTGGTGGGTATTTTTATTTTGGGGGGCGGCAGTTTTATGAGGTGTGCCAGCTCAATGATAAACGCTTTTGTGTTCAAGGGCTGAGTTAGGGGGCCAACAGTCTGTGCTTTTGCCCAAGCTCTCTGTGCCTGTTTTGACTCAGGGAAAGGGACTGTACAGAGCTCGCCACAACAAGACCGGGGACGAGGGGCTCATCTCCGCGGGCAACGTGCGCGAGAGGGAGGCCATCCGCGTGGACCCCAGCCTCAGCCTCATGCCGTGAGTCGCCCCGAACGCCCGGGCACCAATCCACACCTGCTTGCGAGCAACCTGCGGCGTGGTTTTCAACATCTTTTTTTTAGTTTGTTTGTTTCTTCTTTCTGGTAACTCAAAATTCTAAATATAGACCCTTGCTGTTTATTTGCTCTTTTTAACCACGTCCAGCCTCAACTGTTTCTCAAGTGCTGTCCTCTGGCTAGGTTTGCAGTAGGTTCTGGGATCTGATGTCTGCCACATCGGATGTACTTTAGATATAGATCTGAACCATTTAATAGGGTAGTTGAAAAGCTTTTAAATAAGGAGGGACATGCATGCAATTCTTGGACAATATAAAAACGAATAGATATAATGACCTAAAACATTACTTCTCGTATGTCTGTGTATAATGTTTAGTATTTCTTATTTTATAAACAAACTTCTTTCCATTTCCAAGACAGCAAGTATTTAAGAATGTCATTTGAATTGTGAAAAGCAGAGGCTCCCCTCCAGAAAAATGTAAAATGATTTGATTGTGGATATTACGTTATTTCTTTTAACTTCTGGATGCAAGTTTTTTCATAAAAAATCCAGTTTTCAAGTCTGTTCAGGTGGTTTCGGTGATCTGCTCGTGCGCTCTGCGGGTTTCTGCTGTAAAAGTTGTACTGTGTTGTACAGTTGTACTGTGTGCTCTGGTGCTGAGAACTGGGCTTTATAAACTGGGCCCTAGTTCTGAAATCCGGGCGCCCCCGTGCCTTCATCTTCCTCGTTTCCTCACTGGTGTCCCGGCTCTTGCCCCTCTCACTACACTACAAAGGGTTGTGGCAACAGCACAGAGGATTATAGGATGTGATTTCCCATCAGTCGGTGAGATCCACACCATCCGCCGTCACAATCAAGCCCCATCCATCATTCAGGACCATCCCGGCCACAGTCTGTTCTCCCCCTGCGCTCTGGCGAGAAGTACTATTAAAACAAGGACCACTAGACTCTAGAACAGCTTCTACCCCACTGCTGTACGCATACTTGACAGCTAACTGTGCAATGCCTCAGACTCAATGCACGTTCCTGCCATGTTTTTTCACTACTACATATTTATTGTTCTGTCATTATTATTTATTATGTTTGGTATGCACTGTCTACATTGTGTGCTGTTGTCTGTTGTACTGTGTATGTCCTGAGAGATCAGCGAGAATAAGAATTCCAGTGCAAATGTACAGTACATATGGCAATAAACTCGTCTCCCCCCCCTCTCTCTCAGCTGGTTCCATGGGAAGATCTCGGGGCCGGAGGCGGTGAACAAGCTCCGCCCCATGGAAGACGGCCTGTTCCTGGTGCGCGAGTCCATCCGACACCCTGGGGACTACGTGCTGTGTGTCAGTTTCCAAAAGGAGGTCATCCACTACCGGGTCATCTACAAGGACAACAAGCTGACCATCGACAACACGCAGTACTTTTACAACCTGATTGACATGATCGAGGTGCGTCTCCCTCTGCCCCATTCCAGACCAAGAATGTTTAGGGGATGCATGGCCAATTCCCTGTGAATCCCAGTTTCTGGAATACCAGCAACACCATTGACTCAGCGGCCCAGTTTGAAAATGCTCGGGCGAGAGGTCTCTTGTTTGATTCTGGTCACACTGACAGTGCTAGTTTTTAAATAAATCCAGAAGAGCTGTAGGAAGTTTGGGGGGCCAAGCTCGATTCAAGATTGTCTCTACTCTAGGGTGTGCTCTGTCTGGGGAGGAAGCTGACTTAAATGTGGTGAATTGCTAGTCGGATTGCGTCACATATTTCAAGGAAGACTGTAGAGGTTGTTGTTTAAGACGTAGTTACTTGGGTTCAGTGTTGCATTTAAACAGACATCTCTACCCCTGCTTTTTGGGTCATCTTGCATTCTCCCCTTTACTATCAGCATCCTTTTGTTTTTAAGCAGCTATTAACATGTTCCTGTTGTCCCCTTGCTCTTCCTGTGTGATCATCAGTTTCTGATCTGATCAAAGCAGACACGAGAGATTGTGATAGTAGCTTGGTTACCACATTTCCAGTAATCCTTCACAGAGGTGGGCAGAGGGAGGAAACATTGAAGCCCCAGTCTTACTAAAATCTCAAACATTTCAAAACAAGCGGATTTTGCAAGACCAAATTGCCTCACAGCTTTAAAAGCCAGGGTTATTAATAGCTTTTATCGCCTTGGCTTTGAAAGATTGTCAAGCTCAAGGAAGAAAAGTTCTATCAGAACCGTTCAGCCCTCAGTCCTCCTAGAGTTAGCTCACTTCAGAGCCTGACTCATTTCCCTGTGTTTTTCACATGATAAGCAATAAGCAAAAGCATACTGCTGCCCACATTTAGCATAAGTGGCTGAGTGTTGGCTGCTGGTGTCCCTGTTTTTAGCAGAATGGTCAAACTGGAACACACCTATACCAAATGGTCTTTCACTGGTAAACACTTAACCACAGTTTCACCTGTTAATGGTCCGAATAGCAACTTTCTGCTTGCTAGCTCTGGAACCCAGAGCATTTATTTATATTTTTCTCTTTCCTGAACTAAAACCGACAATGTACAAGTGGTTTTGTCTTTTGTTTTCCCCCAAAGAAAAGTTATGATGACATCCTGGTTTCGAGCCGCTGTGCTGGTATAGTTACGTCACCTTTAGATTGGATTCCTTTATTGAAGTGTTATTCTCATTAGGAGAGGATCCTAAAGACAGCCTTGCCTTTTTGGTCCAAAGGAATTTGCCTACTACAGAGTGGTAATTAATACTAATGTGTTAAATGCCCACATTTTGTATGACACTCCTCTTGTTCAGTTAAACAAATGGTATTTAAAGCAATAGATATTATTGGAATGTGGCGGTGGTGTAATGTTAAATTCTGAGCATGTTAAGAAAGAAAGTATTTGCTGAGACGTGACCCCAGAGGACTAGACATGAGACTGCAACAGGGTGAAGTGTGAACTAGCAGAAAGGCACCCTTGACTGCAGAGTAGGCCTTGTGTTAGTAACCCCCCTCTCTCCTCTTCAGCTTTTTCACACCCTGTGATATCTTATGCTCTGTTATGAGAAGAAAAAAACTCTAGAGTTCCACTGACCACTACACAGTGGAAACTTCACATGTCGGATCTCTCAAGTATGAGGTTTGCGGATTATCAGGAAACCTAAAAATAATCGCCTGAATTTAAACTGACAAGAGGAGTGGGCATATTACATGTCTCCTCTGCACAACACTGGCTTGTGGGCTTTTTTAATGGTGTTTTCTCAATTCATTCTGTTTAGCCGAAGCAGAGAAATAACTGCTAAAAATGTGAAATGGGAGCTTGAGTATTATTAATTGGGGGCTCGTTAAAAAAAAAAAAAACGTTTTGAGGTACCAAAAAAGCATCTCGCTCTCTCACTATCTGCTAACGAATCTGGAATCTGGAAGGGAATCCTACTCTCCACCCCACCTTGTAAGACAGAATAATTTCCCAGCAGCAATTAGATCTGCCAGCAGTGCTGGTGCTCCGAATTGGAGATTCCCAGGAAGGAAGCAGGCCTTCTTCGGACCAGATCGCAGACTGTTGTCATCAAAGTCCGAAAGCTTCTGGCCGATTAGGGTGGGTAGCCAATGCGTTGCGTTATTGACGTAAGGGGACGTTATTCCAAACTGGCAAAATAGCTAATGGAATGTCAGTGAGCTGCCAAGAACATGGTGGATGGCCCCTTCAGATTTCCAGTGAGTCTGCAATATCAGTGTATGTCAGGGACAGTTAATTAGCGCTTTGGCTTCAATTTAAGCCCTGACCCAGGCCTCTGCTGTCTATACTTCCAAGGTTATTACAGAATGTTTAAGGGGACACCATTCCAGGTGGAAACTGCCTCTGGAGCTCTGTGACTCCAGCTCCTACTCGGTACTGCTCCTAATCTCTGAGGAGGACTAAAAGGTTAATAACGCTTCAAATTCAGGAAGGAAGGATATTGCATGCACAGTAGTCATTCAACATGTATCTCAGAACTGAACCTTGGTCACCCCAGTAGTCACTCTGAGACAAGACAGCTGTCACAGTTTCGTCTTTACCACCTGATGAGCGGCTCAATTGTGGGGAAGTTGTGCATCGAGCAGTATTCAGAGGGGTTTTCCAGGGAGAAGCTTTGAGTCGACTGAACAGATTTCTGTTCTGCACACTTCCTTGTTGTGAGTGTAATGTACACATTCTAGAATGTTGTGGTCTGGGACAGCGGATGTCTTCTGAGTGGTTTTTGTACTAATCGCTCTGTATCAAAGTGTGCAATCGAGGTTTGCATCCAAAGCTTCGCTGTAGGCAGGGCTTGATTCTCTACGATTTCACTGCAGTGCATACTGACCCTGCTGTTTACACATTCCTGCTGAATACTCTCAGATTCCAGGTTTTTCTGACATTTTGTGCACCGAAAGGAAGGGAGAATTCAGTCACCCCCCATGATCCAACTCATCCGATTTAGGTGAAAATCTCTTTTCTAGTCTGTAACAGTAGCTCAGGCAGACCCGCTGGGCAGTGTGTTATTATTGTTTGTGGGGAGGGGGTTTTCTCTGAAAGGGGTGACTTGTGGTTTCACTGCAGTGTCTGGTTGCTCTTGAGCAGGCATTAACAGCATGGCCATTGAATCATGTTAACCGTTCCTGGAAACTGCAGCAGGGGGCAGGGAGTTATCTTGACAAAGGGAAAGGGAAGGCTGCATCGCGCTTGCTTTAAATAAATTCCCAAATTTGCTAGGCATTGAGGCGGTAATTTTAGCTCATCACACAGCCAGGACAAATTAGCCGTACTTCCTGTGACAAAAAGCTATTTACTGTATTTAACCAACAGTATCGTGAAACCTGCAACATAGAGGAATGGACTTGGTCAAGACAGAACCATTGCAGTACACAGTATTCACAACCAAACTGTTGAGCAGGCAGCTGTGAATTTACACTCTGGCAAGGGCAGTGGCTTGCTTATTTTCTCAAATCTTTTTATTTGTCTTCAAGGACTACAATGTAATCTTTAAAGATTCCTAAATCCTAAGATTTCCTAACGCTGTGCGCCCTCTGAATAGCAGCCAGTCCCACCCCCCGCCCCTGCTCAGGCAGTCAGCGTTGCCCCATCGCCAAGATGACCTCTCTCTGTTTCAGTTCTACATGAAGAACAAGGGAGCCATCGCCACTACCCTGCAGAAACCCAAACAGAAAGAAGGAGCCAAATCCGCCAAGGAAGAGCTGTCTAAAGGTGGGGTTCAGCCAGAGCGAGGTTTAGCTCCCCCCTCCCCCCAAGACAAACGTCACAGCACCCCTTCTGGAACCAGCTGAGAGATCAGAACGTATTGTAGGAACAGTCACTAATGAGAGAAGCCATTCGCCATTTCTGGTCCGTTTGGCAGACAGTAATTCATTGATCCCAGGACCTCAATTAACTGTTTCTGGATCAACATCAGGGTAACGGCTTTACCAATGTGGATGGGTGCCTTGTTGCACACTCCCACCACCCTTTGGGTAAAGTAGTGCCTCCTGATTTCAGTTTTAGAGGCACTTCTGCAGAGTTCCCACTTGTGTCCTCTGTAGAAAGGCATGCTGGGATTCCCCCCCAGTCTCTTGCTTGAGAAACAGGGGTTTTAGGAAAACCTGTAGAGTTCTATAAAAATGTCCTTATTCTCAGCTGAAAATTCAGGGTCACTTTAGAGAATCTTCTAAGTAAAGACATTTCAGCAGAAACTTATATTTCTATCTGTTTTTCATGGCTCATAAAGCCCTGATTATCTGCTCAGGCCAACACGAGCATTCCCTTTACTGTTTATGGACCTGTAAAAAAAAAACAGTACACCTCTTGGGTATGGGTCTAGATTCTTCTTATTTTCTGCTAAAAATTCAAAGAATTTGAATGTGATTTTTATTTCATTTGAATTTAAAAAAGCTGACAGTGTTTATATATATATGATTTATATATTTTGCATTGTCTTTTTACTGCAGCATCTTCTCTTGACTCTGCCACTTGTGTCTGCAGTTCTAGATGATAAAATGACTTGCTTTCCTCATATGCAGGATTTCTTGGGGATATTGTAACTTTAGCACAGAGAAACTTTTCTTATTTGATACTCAACACAGGCTGAGTGCTTTTAAAGAGCATATGAATCAACAGGACTCTGCCTGCCTCTTGCTCAAATGTCCTGTCCCTGTGTTTCAGCGGGGTGGCTGCTGGATATCGAGAAGCTGACCCAGGGACAGAGCATCGGAGAGGGCGAGTTCGGGGGTAAGTCTGAGCAGAAGCCCAGAGAAACTAAGCAGGGTTTTCTCCTCTTTAGGGATGAGGAGGTCAGTTGTTCAGAAGTGGATGCAAGGCCAGTTTCCCCTCCAGATCAGCACAAGGACAACCATTCAGCCTAGTTAAGGGCATGCACCAGACCGCAACAAAAACACTGTGCACAACATGGAGCACACACAAAGACCTCCAATAGTATTTCTGCCTCATGAATCGCACAGAGCCTCACACAGGCATAGAGATTGTTTTATACAAAGGCACACTACTGTACTGTAGGGAATTCATCTGTTTGGGGAGACTTGGGGAGATTAAAAAATAAAAGCAATAAAGGTATTTGCATTTGGGAAATATGCTTTCTGGAGAAAAATAATTTTTAACAAATGTGTACTTATGGCACTGCGAATGTCGATAGAATTGCTGTATTTTGACAAAAGCATAAAGAAAACACTGGATTTCTAGTAAAATATGATCCTAAATGTTGTTTTTGTTATAAAAACTCTTATTTTATGAAAGGAAGAAAGAAAAATTGTTTCGGTTTCTCCTCCTCTAGAAACTCGAGGAATACGAAGATGTGAAGTTTCAGTTCTTAATTCTCTTGACTCTCTAGTTAGCAGTGTATTGGATACGGAAGCAGTTGCCACGTATGTGAGTCCTAAAGTAGTTCAAAACTATCTAAGCTCAAACCTACATAATTATATAGTCAACAGTTTAAAAACATTTTTCACAAAGGGTATGTTGGAGTGATTGAGCTTTAACGCTCTCTTTCGTATTTCGCTGTGTTTGCTTATATTTTTGTTTATATTATGCTTTAAAGCACATTGGTTTGAATACTCTCCGCCTCCAGGCGGTACTAGTTACAATACTGGATAAGATAAGATGTTATGGGGGTGGCCGAGTTCACGAAACAAGAATCCGATTGTCGCGGAGTGATGTCGCCACAGCAGCGGCTGAGCGAACTGTGTTCTCTATCTCCCCCTAGCGGTGTATGAAGGGGAGTACATGGGCCAAAAAGTGGCGGTGAAGAACATCAAGTGTGATGTCACCGCACAGGCCTTCCTGGAGGAGACCACTGTCATGACGTAGGTGTCTTCCGTGCTCTGTCTAACTTTCTGCCCTGGGTGGTATCCTTCCTGTGCGTAAAACCCTGCATCAGTCATATAAATTCATTGTGACCTGACATGATCTGATTTAGCAGTCCCTGTATCCCCCACTAGCTACCCCATTTCACCCAGCTCCTCTTTATTTCTGTCTCTCTGTTGTAGCCCTGCCTTGCTCCCTCCCCTCTTCCCCACCCAGGTGCTCTCCCTGTGGGCATCTCCTTCTCATCCTCCATGTTGCTCAGTCGGCACTATGTTTCTCTGCCTTCTCGTTCAAAACCCTGGTCGTTCATCCTCCCCCCCTCGGATTCTGACTGCTGCCACTCTCTCCCTCACCCAGGAAGCTGCAGCACCCGAACCTGGTGCGCCTGCTGGGCGTGATCCTGCACAACGGCCTGCACATCGTCACCGAGTTCATGGCCAAGGTGAGCGATCGGGGGAAGGCGAGAGGCGTCCTCCGGCAGAGACTTCTGACGTGGGAGGGTTGGCAAAGCTCCTTGCGTTCTTGATCGATGCAAACGGCTGTGGGATTGCGGAATATGTTGCAGAGTAAAACGGAAAGCTCGTTGCACGCAAAGCGCAAGAGCCATGGTGACGCTTTGCAAATGTGCGGCACAGCTTGTGCAAGAGAGGTTGATTTTGTTTGCTGTCCCCCCCCCCACAATGCCCGCAGGGTGACCATACATGACCGGTTTCCTCTGACACAGCCACAGAAGTGAAGTAAATGTGCTGTAGATTCCTGCAGTGAAGCTTTTAGTTCTGCAAGGAAAAAAAGAATATAAAGGTTACAATGGAGAGGAGGCCATGCAGCCATTCTGACTCATTGGGTTTCTAATAGCTAAGTGGTCTGAGGATCGCATCCAGCTGCTTCTCGAAGCAAGACAGCCTTAAAAATATCTGAGTAGCTTGATCCAAACCTCCAACCCTGTACAGGCGTGCCTCCTGTTCTTAGCCTTAATTGTACGTCCCCGAGCTGGTCTGTGAGATGACAGCATGTGTAGCACAGCTTCCTGACCTGATGTGTCCCTGCTCACTTCAGTTATGACATAGCTCTGGTGTCACTGTGGGCTGTAGGTGTCACAGTCCTGGTGTATCATACTGTGGAACCCTCACTGGGGTGAGATCAGCTCAGTTTTAAAAGGCAATGTGATTGGCGTAATGTTACAAAGAAGTTGTTCCATTTTTCATCTGACTGTCTGGTTATGGACTTAAAAATGTGTCCGTCTGTGTGTCTGTGCTGCAGGGCAACCTGGTGAACTTCCTGCGCACCCGGGGACGATCAGTGGTTGGAACCAGACAGCTTCTGCGCTTCTCCCTGTGAGCTCCTCTCCCTCTGTCTCTCCCCTTGTCCTTGCAGGAGAGACCTCGACCGCGAGCTGTGCCTCCGCTACCGAAGCTAGGACAGTCCGCTTGGCTGAGCCAGCTCTTGTGATCACTCAGTAGAACAGTCAGACACGTTCTGAGCTCCTTCTGCAGTCTAGTGTGACTGTACTGATATGTGAATAAATGCCCACATTCCAAAGCTGCTCCTGCATCTCGCTCAGCTGGAAGACAGGAAATGCTGCAGTCTAAGCCCAACTAGAGCCATCCATCCATTTTCTAACGGCTTTATCCAACTGAGAGTCTCGGGGCAAGCCGGAGCCTATCCTGGCAAGCAATGGGCACAAGGCAGGGTACACCCTGGATGGGAGTGCCAATCCATCATAGGGCACACACAGACACACACAGACTTCCTGACCAATTTTTCCCAGAAGCCATTTAACCTAGCGGCATGTCTTTGGAGTGTGGGAGGCAACCGGAGCACCTGGAGGAAGCCCACAGAGGCAGCAATGCTAACTAGTCTGCTACTGTGTCGCCCCCTATCTAAACACTGTAACACAAAGCAATAAGTCCACCTTCAGTGGTTTGCTAGGGCCTATATTAACTTGATTCCTGTTGCTGCAAGTAATCTAAATGAAGAATCATGGGTTTTTTAAATAAAGTTCTGAGTCTTTAAATGAGGAGTCGCTTAGTGTGCGGAAGCCAATGGGGTCTGCATTTTCAGTGGGTAAGATGAACAGTGAGGCTTCAATGCAAGTTCACTGATAGAACTACAGTTGACCCTCGCTATTTGAGTTTTTCATTTATACAAGAGGTAGTTATTCCCGCCTGTTTTTTCATTTAACGAGCAGGTTTTCACTGTAACGAGTTGGGCTCTCATCAAGCACTGCTGAGATTCTTCTTTGCTTCACGGATGAGGAATTTAATTTTTATTAATTAGTACATTTAACCAGTTTTATAATAAAGGCTTTGTGTTAAGTGCAGGATATAGTGTGTGTTATTGTACAGGATAGTTCCTAATGTTCACGCATTTGCTAACAACTGTAATGGTGTAACTACTGTACTGTAAATGAGCAGGAGTGTTATTGTTTTGCTCCTTATTGTTTAGGAATTGGCTAAGACTTTAAAGCATGTCACTCAAATAATTTATCGGTGTTGTTATAGTTTTCATACTTGGGCGCCATTCTGTGTTGTGTTAAGGTGACACTTTGGCGTTTGAGGGAATATTTTTGAGTTCTGTAAGTAATAGAAATATGAGTTTTCATCTTACGAGCAGTTTTCCGAGGAGCAAATTAAACTCGTATAACCAGGGATGACTGTACAGTCTGTTCCATAGTGACACTTGCATGAAAGACTCGTGTATGGACAACAGAAGCTCAAGGTCTCAGGAGTGGGCTGTACCGGGGGTCACAGGCGATCCGTGTGTGTCCCGCAGGGATGTGTGCGAGGGCATGGAATACCTAGAGTCCAAGAAGCTGGTGCACAGAGACCTGGCCGCCCGCAACATCCTCATCTCCAGCGACAGTGTGGCCAAGGTCAGCGACTTTGGCCTGGCCAAGGTGGACACCAAGACCTCAGACAACGCCAAACTGCCTGTCAAGTGGACTGCTCCCGAGGCACTGAAGAAAGAGGTATGCTTCCCCAGAGGAGGGCGCTATACTCGTACTATGAGCATTAGATGAAAACAACACAAGCATTATGTGCATGGCCTATAGGCGGTCATCACTAATTCCACTTGTTTCCAGGTTACCCATGCCACTGGGAGACTCAATGTAAAAGGAAGTCTGATGAAAGAATTCAGAAATCAGGAGAGGACCTATATGCTAGTAAATCCTAACTGGAAATCAGTTTCCAAGATCTGTGCCCTGGTGTGACCCTGGAGTGGTGACCTTGTTGACATTACAAACACGATTTCAGCTATTTCAGATTTAGCCTGCTCATAGGACTCCAGATGTATGGCACTATTGCTCAAAGTATAGCCAAATTGTTTGGTAATGCATACACAGGAGGCTAACATCCAAAGATGACAAATTAAGAAACAATAGACTTCAAAATGAAGACAAATAGACTTTGCCCAAGCATTGCACTAGTATTGAGGATGTCACATTAAAGCGCAGTGAAATCCTCTGGGATTTGCCAGAGGGATATCTCATTTCATCATATGTTATCCCTGCAGCAGAAATTCTCTACGCGTTCAGATGTCTGGAGCTATGGGGTTCTTCTCTGGGAAACCTTCTCCTACGGCAGACAGCCCTATCCAAAAATGGTGAGTCCTCGCTGTTAATACGGACAGAGTCCCTGACACCGGTCCTGGTACTATGTATTTTCAGCCTGGATGAGAGTCAGGTCATTAAAATGAACTTTGTTGATGACTTTGCATTTCAACTGAAAAAAATAAGTCTGCCTAAAAATGTATTTGGAAGAACGTAAAGAAATTTAGCAGCCTGTGCTTTTGAAGTTGTTCTGTCAATAGTTCCTTTGTTTCTGCAAGGTGCAGATCTTGGGAGTCTTTTTGTTTTTTTTTTATACAGAATTTTTAAACAGGCATTAATTATTATTGTCCTTGTAACTCTTAGCTTTTTTTCTTTTTGCACTGCTGAGCAAAAAAGTGTATTAAATGGATAATTTCATACAGTGCCCACTGTATCCATTACAACTATCAGCATTTTCTGACCGCAAAGAAAAAATCCCAGATCTGTGACCTAAACAAAGGTGAGCTCTCAAGTGACCCTTCTCAGGCGCTGAAGGAAATCAGGCCTGATTAGGACAGTGAGAGCTCTGCTGCAGATGAATGGTGGCTGTGCTACGTCACTGTGTCTGCTCTTCTGGAAACAGATCTGCTGCACGTCTCGGTCAGCCATGGAGTCTCCTGGAGAGCAGGCCAGGGGCAGGGGAGGATTGAGAGAATATCCTTTCCTGCTTTCTGCGTGTCTTAATCAGGATTAATCACCTTAGGTTTCTTCTGGCAGTGTGCGTTTCACTTCTAGGGCATGTTCCAAAGACTTTATTCAGCTTGAATTGGGTCGGGGATAAAAGGAAAGAATAAAAAGAAGACAAGAGCACAGATGTGCCAGAAGAGGGCAATCAGGGACAGCATTTGTATTGAAACTGTAACAGGCGACATAAAAACGCCTTTTTCGAATGCTAGAGTAATATTTAATCTGGTGTACTTTAATGTAACCTGACTCCAACAAGTCTTTTGCTTGTTTAATGATTTCGATGAGCTCTGGCTGAAGTACGACCTTTACAGGGTGAGATCACGATACTGCTGTCATTAAAAATGACAAAAATAAAAATCAGTTTTAGGTTCATTGAAATAAATCCCATCCTGTTTTTTTTTCTTCTGATTTACATAAGTGAAGACAATTACAGAGTTTGGTATTCTGTTTAGAAAAGCATCTCCTCGCAGACTACTACGCTGTACCTGTGTGAGCTGACATGTTGAATAGTGTATTTTATAGGAAAGCATAAAGTAGGGTAAGGGTTTGTAGGCCCTATTTCTATGGTAACGGCACCTATTAACATTGACCCAGGAAGGAGAATGTTAGAATAGTTAGGCTTTCATGGCTTGATAGTCTGGCCCTATTTGTTTTCTTTTTTTACTCATATTTTAATAGGTTTCTTATATTTACTCATACTTATATTACTTGATATTCTTTAGAGAACTGGCAACTTTTCAGTTCCTCCAACTATAGCTCTCTCTTTTTTAATATAATATGATTTAATATAATATTATTTTTATACACCTGAAGAAGGCTCCACGGCCGAAACGTTGTGTTCTCTTTCTTCTTTTTTTCAGCATGGAATAGACCTATTACTTGTTCCTTTGCAGCCTACGCATGCTGACGCAGCTCCCCACCTGAACTAATATTATTTTTGTTTTACTCAACTGTTTAAGAATAGCCAGTTGTCGGTTTTCTCCATCTTGGCCTGCGGCTATGAACCATGCAGCCGCACACAGGGGAGAAAGAGGAAGTGCGGGCAGGCTCCTCCAACCTGACCCGCCCACCTTTGAGCCAATCGACTTTTAACACGTCACAGGCTTCCCAGCCCCCTATTGAGGGCTCAGTGCTGATTGGAGGAAAGGCTTGTCCCTCACTGACAGTTCTCAGGGGCCTCAGTTCTGCTGTGGGGCTGAAGGAGCCCTGGCTAACAGGTCCCTACCCTGACATGAGCCAGGCCTGACAGCTCTCTTTGAATCCTCCATACCCTGGGAGGTGGGAAGAGCTGTTAAACTGGTCTAAGTAAGGCGGTAGTAAATTAAATCGGGCTAAGCTGAAATTAAAACCAGGAGACGTGTCCCCCTTGGAGCTACGGCTGGAAAAAAGGTGCTCTCTCTGCTCCGTCTCCACACAGACATACATTACTGTATCTTATGAGCTTAAAACAGTCTTGGTCGCTAACAGCAAAAGAGCGATAAGCTTAGCACAGTGACTAATGGTTTGTGAGCTGGAGACAGAGACTGAACTGCAGGGGTCGGTGTGGGGACTTTGTAAGCGATGTGGACGAATGATCGCCCCCCGTGTCTCTGCGCTCTGCCCCTCAGTCCCTGAAGGAGGTGAAAGAGAAGGTCGAGCACGGATACCGGATGGAGGCCCCCGACGACTGCCCCCCCAGCGTGTACGCCCTGATGCGGAGCTGCTGGGAGAGCGACCCGGGGAAGAGGCCGTCCTTCCGCAAGCTCCGGGACAAGCTGGAGAAGGAGCTGCGGGCCTGCGGCGCCGGGGCCGCGTCCTGAGCCGGGGGGGCTCCGGGAAGGGCTAGCGGCAGAGCTCGGGAAGCTGGCCTGGCCGAGAGCTCTGTTCGCTCGGCACCAGGGCCCGTTCTGCCCGCCGCCTGGGGGTGCTGGCGTGTGTCTGCCCTGTAGCAGGGCTCCCGTAAAGGACGTGGGGTATTAGTCAGGCGGGGCTGTGGCTGCTGAGAATCCCACATTCCAAGCCAGAGCTCGGATCCACCGCTCACGTCAGCCACTCTCTTGGGCACTGGTCCTGTGCAGAATGCAGAAACCAGTTTTTTTTTTCTTTCGTTTTGGTGTTTCGTGACCTGCACCGACGCCTTGCTCACCTGTCGCCCCGAATTTGAATCACCCGGGCTCTTTTCTTCGCCCCACACTTCGCCGAGGGCTGAGGCTCGGGGTGGGGCGTCCTCAGAGCCTCCTGTCTGTCTCGCTCCCCGTTGGGACCCCCTCACCTGAGGGTGCCAGACTGCCGGTGCTCAAGAGCAGAGAACCGGGTCTTTGCCAGGACGTAGCGGTGAGGCAGGGAGGGGGAATTGGAAACACAACCTCTGTGCCAAAGTCATTGGATGCCAAAGAAAACCTGCTTCTGTAGCTGAGACATTGACCGTTATACCCAGACCTTCAGAGGCAAAGCGCCGGTAAGCACTTACAAAACTATGGATCTTTTCTAAGCATTCAGAAGGAAGCCCAGGTGACAAGACGGATAGCATTTCTTCTCTGGTTCCACTCCAAACCAACAAAAATGCGGAACAAATCCAGAAGGAAGCCGATAAAGGAAATGGTTGCATGTGGTCAGATATGTTTACACTAGGACCCTCCTCTCCCTCTCATACAGAGCAGTGATTTCCTTACCTTTCCCATCTCTTCACATGGGGTGACCTCTGTGCACACTATATAATAAGTACCTATAACAATAAAAGCTCCTTAAAGGCTGTACATCTTGGAAACCACAATAAAGAATGTTATTTAAAATTGTGTTTTGCATTGCAGATGCATTATGTTGTGGTGGACAGGGGCAGGATTACTGTAACACTGAGGGGAATGCAGTTACAGCGACCCAGCTCAGTGCCATGCGGTCTCCTTCTTTGCTCTTGCAGAACCTGGGCTGTTCTGAAGAAATTAATCCCTGGGCTGAGTGCCCTCTGTGGAGTCCTGACACAAATACTGAGAGAAAGAAACACAGCTGATCCTGGATTACAGCTCTCTTCATTCAGTCACGTAATTGTCTACAATATGCCCTGGGACTTGGGGCTTAATATGCAAAATCTTGAATGTTATTGCTGATATAAGTAAGGAATTACAGGACAGAAGGGCAGGGGCTTTACTGCTACAAGCTTTTAAAGAGTTATAGATCAAGATGTCTTTCTGTTTCAAACAAAGAATCCATTATGAGACTCGAGACAGACTGTTTTTGCCTGCTTACAGGTTGATGAGCACACATTTTCTACATTCCAGCTTCATCCCTGTCATGTTCCTGCAGGTCTGACTGTCGTGAAGGTGCTCTTTGTGGGAGTGCTGTAAATTGACAGACTCGCAGGCAGGCAGCGGGCTCAGAGCTGAGGCAGTGGGGTAGAGAGGCAGCGTGGAGGAGTGAGATTAGAGTTGATTGCATCTGATGGAGAAAGGCAATTATTTCTCTGAAAAGTCTGCAAAAATTTGGTCTGATAATTGTCTAAAAAATCTTGAAACATTCCTGTATGGGATAAAATCTATCTAAACCAGAAATCCTGATTGTCCTTTCTGATTGACCCAACCCAGATGACTTGTTGCTTTTGAATTGTAGTTCTGGGCCTTTTCCGAAGCAGCTGTCAGCTGTTTATAACGTCTTAAGCCCGGTTTTTAGCTTTTCCCCATGGGAGCAGGCACAGATGGAATCCTCAGCCCTGTGCTGTGGTGTGGCAGGACAGGACCCAGGAGAACCAGCCTAGGATTTGTCCCGTGTTTCTAATGCTCCTAACTGAATAAACTACAATATTAAAAAAAAAAAATTAAACTAAAAACAAGAAGTGTCCAACATATTAAAAGGATTTAAGACAAACATTTGTTTTCTTCGGGGTAAAAGATGTTATGTGTTTTTGCACAGGGAGCAGGCTGATTGCTAAGGGTAGGAAAAGGTAAAAAATTCTCTCTGCATTTCCTCCTTGGCCAGGGCAGCCAGTGGTCTCACGCTGCAGATCTGTTATTTCATTGGGTAATGCCTTGTCCCGTTCTGAATTGGTAAACAGGTACTTTTTTGTTATCCCATGTTTAAAATAGAGCTTTTGACTCTTTTGATTTTTTTTTTAATTTTCCCATGTTTATATCACGTTTGCAGTCACAAACAAGATGTGGCTAGCGTGCACATCTACACGCTATGTAAAAAACAGAACACCATCCAGCCATTTTCTAAGAGCTTCATCCAACATGGGGTCATGGGGGCAATGGGAAGAAATGAGCATAAGGTGGGATACAACCTGCATGGGACACCTGTCCACCACAGGACATCACTCTCACACCAGGGCCAATTCTTCCCAGAAACCTATTAAAATAGGTTAAAAAATTAAAATTAAAATGCTCCGGATTCCCGACTCATGGATCGCTGAGTGTTGAAAGTAAGTGAGCCAGCTGTGTCAGGGAAGTTGCCTGGAAGGAGCAGGCGGGGACACTTGGCCCGTTCCTACGTTTAACTCCATTCCAGCACTGACCCCTCTGCCAAGTCTGTATTACACCCATTATTGGCCGCTAATTAAATGAGAGCAGTTATCTGACTTATATAATCCAGGCTTATACAATTAAAACGCAGGCTGTTCTTTTGACACCCGCTAATCTGCTCTGCTTTTTTTCATTTGATCCCCTTCTACCTGGTTTTACAGCGAGTCTGAGAGCAAGGAGTGCAGGCTGGCATTGGAGTGTCCTAGATTGCAGTTAATGCTCGTGCCCTTCCTTTGGAATTTATCCCAGAGTCTTTCCTGTCTCGATGGTACCCTGTCTCCAGCGGTTTGTCCTGGAGAGAAGTGATCCCAGTTTTAAATACACTTAGCACGCTGCTTTAAATTAACAGCAGATGTTCAAATCTCTCCTGGAATTTGTAAAACTCATGCAAAGTTCAGAACAGCTGACAGAACTAAATTTTGGACACTCACAGACGAGGTTCACATTTCTTGATCACCTCGATAGCCTTACAAGACATCTGATTGAGATCTTCAAAACTGTGAAGGAAACCAGTAAGGTAGATCCCAGTCATTACTTCAAGTACAGTGAACATTATGCAGGCATGTAGCTGATGACTGGGTGAAAGACAGTTCCTCACTGATACTTGCTCGCTCTGAGTTATTAATGCAAAGCAGTACACAGTGGGGTCTGTAAATTCAAGTCTAGGCTTGGTGCTACGATCAATTCACTCGCTGTGTTGGAAAACGGCGATCAAAGATATTGTGGAGTGGCCTGCTCTCCTCATCATCTTTTGAAGAAACTTTTCTGTTTCAAAGAAACAGCCTTCCTCGTTCACACGGGCCATCAGCCCCACTCCTGCCTTGCTGGGACCTTGGGCCAAGGTGAATCCAGCCCAGCTGACAAGGGCTGCTTCTAATGAGTTAAGCTCTTTAGCTCCTCTGCTCCCAGCGAAATGCACTGACACCCGGATCCATGAACACTGGGACAGAGCGCAGTGCAGCAGACTGAGTAACCGACTCTACTGCTCCTTCCAGACCCACACGCACGCGCACACTTAGGTACCAACAGGGAGTCTGAGTCCGTTCTTTCACCAGTTTCACTATCCGCCAACTCGTCCCGTCTCCAGCCCTCCTCCTCTTCCTCCTCCTTCCTCTCCTTCTCCGTGCAACAGCATCTTCGCCCCACCCCCCCGGGACCCCCATCCTCAGCCCCAGCCCCTCGGCGCGCGGTCGGGCGCCATGTCGTTCCTGCTGAAGACGATGGTGGGGAGCCCGATGAAGAACCTGAGCGGAGGAGGAGGAGGAGGAGGGGGGGAGGAGGAGAAGAAGGTGGAGGGAGATGGGAAGGAGACGGCCGAGTCCAAGGGGATGACCCGGGAGGAGTTCGAGGAGTACCAGAGGCAGCTGGTGGAGGAGAAGTGAGTCTCTTGGCGTTTCTACTCTTCTCGGTCTGTGCAAACCTGAGCTGTAGCCCTGGGAGAATCGGGGTGTGTGTGTGTGTGTGATTCTCCTGGAATAGGGAGGTGATCAGACACTTTGACTCAACCAAAACACACGTTTCCAAAAATCAGACCTCTTCCCCCTTGCTTGATTTCAATCTGTTTTTGATAGTTTGATAGCTAAATTGCAATTGCCCTGTTCTTGAATTTTGCATCGTGCATTTAAAGCATTCTCCAAAATGCTTTTTTTTATCATGCTATCTTCTTTCCATTTTTTTTCCTGAAGCTGGGAATAATACAGTGCAAACTCAATTTGGGGGGGGTTTAGAGTAGGGTGATTATTAGACCTCAAAACCTTCATGTTCTTCAATCCAGGAGGTGAGTAGAAAAGGGGTCTGCAGTGTGTTTTTGTTGGTTTTCATTCTGTTCAGGAATGTGAGAAGCAGAAAATGTTTGATCTGATTACAACAGAGCCATTTCTTTCACAGAAAAAGAACTTTTCCTTTTTTGTGTGAAAAATGGAAGTTGAATGGATCCTGGAACTGTACAGAAGTCATAGATTTTGGAAACAAATTGCAGATGAAATGTGCTGTGTTCTTACTGGTTTGGAATCTAACATGAAGCAAGGATACATGGCAGACAGATTCACTCTGCTAGCACGATTAATAAGCTTCTCATTTCACATCACATTTCTTAGACAGAACTATTAAAAAGGCAAATTCTAACTACTGATTTTAGTAAAAACGCTAGAAACATGTTAATAGTCCTTCTTCACATATACATGCTGTACTATCTGCAGTTTCTATTTTTCATAGAGTTTTGTTCAGAAATAATTTAAATAGTAATATTAATATTTTATTTAGCTGCAGGAATATAAATCAGCAAGCTGGAGTAAATATCTTACATACTGAATCTACACACCCTGTAATTCAGTCAGAAATTTAGAACTCTTTAGACACTTAAAGCCCTGCAGCATGTACAGCAACAAGATATACCAGGAAGCAAGTAACTTGAGAATTACCCAAATCCTGCTGGTTTTTGCTTCTCCTGTTTCTAATGCGTCGCTTATGTAACGTTCAGTGCCATCTGCTGGCCACCTGCTGCAAAAGCAAATTTAACAGTCCAGAGTCATTGTGAAAAAAAGAATTGGTGTTGTCAACTCAGTTTTAGTGCTTAGTGCTGAGAAAATTCTGCCCTTTTCCGTGCAAACTGGGAGTTTGTTGTCAGGCTGGCTGTGATCTTTGCTTCTCGCATGAGAATCAGAAAAAAAGTAACAGCACGTTGTCTCACCGATGTTTTATCACTCACTGTGTAGGTATTAATAAAGAGCCTTTTCTTATCACATAACATCATGTGTTCTGTTCAGAGTCTGGACTGCTGAGCAATAGACCTCTGGTGCTTTGTCTGTTGCTTAGCAGTGCTGGGGCCCTGGGTTCAATTCTAGACAGAGGGTGGTGTCTGCATGGAGTTAGTATGTTCTCCCCGTGTTTGTGTGGGTTTCCGCCAGGTGCTCCAGTATCCTCCCATAGTCCAGAAACATGCTGGTAGGACAGTTGGCCCTGGGTTGAGTGTGTGTTTGTCTCCGCTGGCCCTGCGATGGACTGATGGCCCATCCAAGGTGAACCCTGCCTTGCACCCACTGCCTGCTGGGATAGGTTCTGGTCTCCCAGCTCCTCCTGAACCTGAATTGAATTAAGCGTTTAGAAAACAGATGTATGGATGGATATTTTGTCTGATTCTACTGATTCGGCGTTGCTTTTGCCCTGCGGCATACTTTGTTGCACAGCTCTTTGATAACGGTGCTTTACAGCATTCCAAAAAGTCGAGGAGACCCTCATAGGAGTGAAAATACCAGTGGCACTGCTTAAAACAATGCTTTTGAGTATTTTTCTGCAGGACGTCTCAACAGCTGCCAGTAGCGGTCTGCAGGAGTAGTGGTGCTGTCTATGGGAGACGTCAAGTGTTCAAAATTTCCGTTCGGTGTCTCCAGTTTTCCTGTGTCCCTTCTGTAGCCCCACCATCTCTGAATCGCGAATCCGCAGAGACGAGTAGGGTGAGTGTCAGGGGGAGGCAGGCTTACTGTGGAAGTCAGAGGTTTATTTCACCACAGCCCAAATTAGCCTGCTTTACAGGATTAGTGTCTGGGGTGGCTGCTGGATCAGAGAGTGCTGATCCAGAAAGTCTCTTACTCTAAAACTCACCTCTGCACCAGGGTCACCGGTGGTGTTTTTGATGTATTTACTCTTTTGTTAATTAGGACCCGTGCCATGGTTAAAGAGTGAAACCAACCAAAGCTCCTTCCAGTTAGCGATTGGCATCGCTTACACGCTGGGCATAATCCAGCAGGAGTTAGCCATGGGAAAGCACGTGCCACCTCCACCGCGAACATGCAGATGACCTCAGTCAAGGTCATTTGAGAGCTTTCTTTGGGAAATTCTGATCTCAGGGTATTTGATTATTTGGACTTGAATTTCTGAATATTGTTTTTGACCCAATTATCTCCAAGTCTAGCGGGCAGTGTAGAGCTGTAGGTAAGTCTCTGCATTCATTAATGCAGATGAGCTGTGGGTTCGAGTCCCCACTATGGACGCTGCTGTTGCAACTAGAGGGAGGTGCTTAACCCCAGTGGCTCCTGTCCACCCAGCTGTAGGAATGGGGACCAGTGTTTGCTGGGGTAGGGGTCTGTGACGAACTGGGCCACTGGGCCCAATGGATCACATTCTTCAGCTTCAATTACAAATAATTTTGTGTTTTCTTTTGATCTCATTAAGCTCTTCCAGGGCAGAAGTTGATATTGCAGGCACCCTTTTTAGCAAAAAATGTAACATACATTCTGCACTCCTGAAGGCAAAGTCTTTCCATGGTGTGTGCAGGTTGTCATGGGAGACAAACAGTGACACAGCCTGGATTCTATCCCTGCAGGATTGAGAGAGACAAGCAGTTTGCCCAGAAGAAGGCAGAGAGAGCCAGCCTCAGAATGCACATGAGAGGGAAGTACAGGCTGCCTCAGGTAAGAGCCCCACCAGCCTGCTGCCTAGTGACTGTCCAGAAATGTGCATTGGTGCTGTGTCTGGGAGACGTCAAGTGTTCAAAATATCAATTTTATGTCCTCAGTTTTCCTGTGTTCCTTCTGTAGCCTCACCATCTTTTTTGATTGGGCTGTTCTGCCCATCTAGCGCATTTGTGAATTAGTTACTCATTGATCCAAGGATCCCATCCCGTCCCTAGCCTCCATAACATGGTCATGTTCCATACTCCCACAACGCTTGGTGTAAAGATGTTCCTCGTCCAGTTGTTTCTTGAAAGAAGCCAGGGTATCGGCATCACCATCATGGCTGGATGACTTGTTCCATACTCCCACGGCCCTCAACGTCCACAACCTTTCTTTCTTTCTCCATCTCCCTACCTTCTCTTTCTCTTTCCGCTGTCTCGTTAAGTGCTTGCCCCGTGTCTCTCTTGGCGGCTGTGCTGTCCTCCTGCCTGTTCGTCCGGTACATGGGCCCCTCTGCACCTCCCTGCTCAGACTCTCTCCCTGTCACCCCCAGAGCGAGAAGGACGACGCTCAGGTCCAGATAGTTGGGGGGGACGTGGATCTCCCCGAGGACCTGGCCAAGATGGTGGAGCAGGATGAAGAGGAAGAGGAGGCCAACGACTCGCTGCTGGGCAAGATCCAGAACATGGAGCTGGACTTTGACGTCATCAAAACCAAAGCCCAGGCCACCATGACGGAGATGAAGCAGGTGGCCGAGGAGAAGTGTGCTGTCATGTGATCACAGGGTGCCCCCACCCCTTTGACCCCCCCCCCACCCCCTTTCCCCAACTCTCCCCCCACGCAGCAGCAGGAATATTCCCAGCCTCCTGCTGGGCAGGCTCCACCTCAGCCTTTCCCTGTGCTGATGTTGCTCGTGCTTCACAAGGCTCCATGGGACATCGTGGGGATTTCCATCTCTTATTCAAAAACAGTCCGGAGAAGAGGGGTTTAAATATTGGCAGGCACCATTTATAGCAGGAGATGTAACATACTGTAATGAACGGCTGACACACAGGTGGTACGAGCCAGTTGCAGCGCGCCCCCTACTCTCCTGTGCCTAACAGCTCAGCCGGCAATACCCTTGTAGAGCAACGCCGGAGACCTGGGTTCGATCCTGAGGCGGGGGACGTACTGCAGGGGCAGAAACTCCCAAGAACCCGAACACATTCTGCACTCATGAATGCAAAGGCTTTCAATGGTGCATGCAGGTTGTCCTGTCAGACAAACGGTGTTCCCTGTTCAATGCTTAAAAACCCCAGTTACCACAGCTCTTTTTCCAGTCATTCCTGCACACCCAAGCACCCTCCTTGATTCACTGCATCCCGCGTTCTGAGTTCAAGGCGCAGTGAATAAACCAACAGGACTGTTCATTTGTAAGTCCTTGTTGCTTTCTCAGCTTTTGGCAGATGTGGCTCACATCCGTGAGGACGTTTTTTGCTTAAATGCAGACAGCAGACTCTGTCAGTCCTGAGAACGAGGAAGAAAACCTGGAGGACAAAGAACCTGGTTTTACTGGTGTTCATGCCAGGGCAGGGGGGCACCAGGAGGCTTCCCAGAATGCAAAGTGGAGGTCATCTGACAGGAAGAATATTTTTAAAAGATAGATATAGCGATTGCATTTTTATGACGCCTCTTGCATGGTACCATTTGTCAGGGGCTTTGTGCTCTAACCAGGTATTTAGCACCTTTTATATGTCTGAAACACATTTATCTGTTGCTTTACTGCAAAAGATGTTTTAAATGGAAATATCTGTTACTGTGAACGATGAAAATAATATTCATGGCCTTTTTTTTAGTTTTATGAAGCCTTAGGCTTTGAGCATTTTATTAACCTGTATTTTACTGGTCAGAAATAATTCAGATGGTGTCTTGTCATCTTTTTTTGAGGGAATGATCTTTTTGTTTCATTAGAATTATTTTTCTACTTATTGGAAGGAGTAAAGTCAGCAGTGCTTACTTGGGGGAGAGTAGATTAGGTTGTGCATGATGAGAATCAACAGCTGTATAAACACTGAGACATCTCTGTAAATTATAAAGTTATAAATATATATATTTTTGTTGAAACTGGTGTTTTTTAACAGAGAGAGAAAATGAACTATTGAAAAGTCTTACCTCATTATTCTGGTTTTTAATGCAGAACGATTCCATTTCTCACACAAGGGATGTAATCTTGCCGAGACCTTCAGTGGGAGATTAACTGAATCTACTTTGAATCTACTTTGTGGGTAGATGGCAAACACCAAATACAACAAACTGCAATGTGAAGTGATTAGTCATCCATCTGTTTTCTAACCGATTCATCCAATTCAGGGTCACAGGGGAGCTGGAGCCTATCCTGGCAAGCAACAGTCTCAAGACACCCAAAAAACCTTACCGCAATGCTGGGAGAACATGCAAACTCCTCACAGATCCCACCCCAGTTCCAGAACTGAGCGCATGGCCAGAGCTGTGAAGCTGCAATGCTACCCACTGTGCCACTGTGGCACCTGCAGTTAGTCATTCTCCACAAAAGTATAATATTATGGGTTGGTGTTATTCACTGCAAATGGATATCTCGTATTCACAAATCTCTTTTTCATGTGGTGCACCGCGGCTGGGTTTGGATGAATTGTACACACATTCATACGGTAAAATGCTGGTTCGTGCTCTTGTGTATTTTCCATTAGATATGTGCTTCATGATAAGACCTTGATTCATCTGACTACATAAATGGTGATTCAAAATAATCCATTTTTGACAGTACCTTGTTTTGCATGAGGCTTTACTCTACTTTAGTGTAGCGGTACACCACCACTGTCAGCAGGGGGCAGCAGAAGAAGCCAGTGACCTCACACAGACTTGACAAGGACACTGTGGTTGATGTTGGATAAAGCCTTTACCACCCCAGTCCTGAACCCCCCCAGCACTTGGTATAGGATTTTTTTTTGTCTGGGCAGACTTGGTGAAGGAGTTTAGTGGGCAAAACTCATTTGCTAGTTTCTTTCTCTGTCTTTTTCCCTCTTGTAATTGCCTAATCAAACTTTCTTGTACGAGGTACAGTACAGCTAATCCTCATAGCCCGTGCAACAACCTGCAAGCTTGCTTGTTATTGTAATGGCACAAGGACATTAACTTGAATATATAATATCGTAGACTGCAGACATGGCTTGAAAATGCAGTGCTAAAATAGCAATAAAAGCCCAGGAGAAAAATACAGAACTTTTAGGGAGGATGATATCCCACATTGCATCTGTGCAGCGCGTACACAAACAGAGACTCGGCTCAGGGCTTTGCAGAGTGGGTAGCAAACCACTCTTTAATCTGAGCTGGGAGAGAGATTAAAGCAAGGCCTCCTGGAATTATGATTTCGTTTCTTGCGTGTTTTCTTCTGATTTCCCACTCGGTAATCCCCCCCCTCTCAGGACCGCAGTAATCCAGTGACATAAGGAGAGGGCAGAAGGAAGCAATCAGACAATGACGACGAAAATGAAACGTACAGTCTGTTGCCATGCCCCCCACTTGCTCAGGGAAGATTTCTGATGGCTGAACCTTCTGGATCTCCTGGGTCTGGTTTGGGGGTGAGTGTGGCCCCTGTGACCTGTGTGAACCCCTAACCCGGGCTGTTTGTAACCATCCAGCCGAAACTACAGCAGGTCATGTGTGAAAAGTAAGTCAGACTGATGGGGTTTTCGATGCTACAAGGCTGACAAAAAATTAAATTCTATTCAGAACAACAATGCACAACTCAAAGGCACATTGTTTTTATTTCAGTAATGCTATAAATAAATTACTTACAATAGTTATGGCACTTTCTGTGTGTTATTATATTCTGACTTGGTTCAGAGCTCGGAGATTTCAATAATGAACAGATCTAAGGTAACGACAGGTGTACAATGGCTCAGAGACCCCAGAACTGTGGGCATGCTGGGCTGATTGCTTGTAATGTGAGCTCTGTTAACATTGCACAGAAACATACCGACCCTGAGTTTGTGTGTCTTTAAAATACGGGATTTCTGGATACTATGATGTACAATCACACCATAAACATGCTTGTTGGATAATATTACATTCCAATGGGTCTGCCTATCCCTGAAAAAATGAATAGATCATGCATAAAAATAAGAATAAATCTATTCGCCACGGGAAAAAAAAACTCCTTAACACCTCAATGTGTAAATCCTGATATTTTCCCTGTCGGTGTCAGAAGTGGTTTTTGATTTTGCAAATAACGCAACGCGACTCCTTATGATGTGAGACAGAAAGGTGTCCATCATGGGAAAGAACAGGAAAAGCATGACAGTTGACATCAGGGGATGCCTCACAGCACTGCACACAGCTTTTAGACCCCGAAGTGGGCTGGCTGATGCTTCTCTCCAGCACCTAAACCATTGATTCAGTAAAACAGGTTTCCCAGTCCAGGTCTTCGGGTACCCACAAACCTGCTGGCTGCTGGCCTGCTGCTTCCACCCGAACACTTAATTAAATAATTAAACCCTTTATAGATCTCAAAATAGGTTTAATTTGAACTCTTTATTCATTTGCAGTTTCTAAACATGTAGGAGGCAGCATTTTAACTTCCTTCCCATTTTAACTTAAGTAACATAAAATCTCAAACCTTAATAGTAAATAAATAGAACTTGCTCAAGTCCTAACTGAGTAATTTTGCTGGTTCAGTTAAGGATTATTTTTAGTAAAGAGCTCAGCTGTGATGAAAACCAGCACGCGTGGGGGTTCCCAAGAAGCAAAGCTGGGAACCCCTCATTGAAAGACAGTCATGTACGTCCACTGTGTTGTACATGAGAGTGGGCACCTCTGTCTTCATGAGTCTTTTTCTCTCATCAGGCCCAAGACTGTGAGGAAGGTGTTCCCCTGTCCTGTAATAGAATATTCGGTGAGAAAATCAGACATTACTTAAGAACAAGACACTGACACACAGGGGCATCAGAGGACAGGAAGAGAGGCAGGAGATGGAAGGGGAGGTCAAGGGTGGGGGCGGGGTTAATCTGCAGGAAATGCGGCTCAGAGGAAGTGAGGAAGCGGGAAGAGGTGGGGGAGGTGGAGAGGGGAGGGTGTTTGATTGACAGTCGTGGCGACTAATCAGGCGGATTAAGTGCCAAAGTACGTCAGCGTTTCCTAGGGATTCATCTTCCCTAATGAAGTTAAGAGTATCGGATTAAGTGATAAGGAAAGAGACTTTTTCCAATTACTCTCTGGCCCAAGCAAGCAAGGAAAGAAGGCAATCAGGGGGAACCTTCAGAATGATTTGTAGCCCAGTAACATTGTACTTGTAAATGCAAAATCTCATTTGGTATTTGTGATGGGGGTGCCATGTGTCAGATGAGAAACTACAACACATTCGAACACATACAACATACAACAGGAAACACCCCTCCTCTCGTTCGGAACCTCTCTCGTTGTCTGTCAGGTATTCACTGCTGTGAGGAATCCAGACCCAGGAATGCTTGTAAGCGCTACTCACTTATTTATTTGATTAAGTGCATTTGTAATTCTCCCGGAGTTGCCTAATTGAATTTGCAGGATGACAAGATTACAATAAGAATCTGTTTTATCTCCCACCCTGATCGAGGTGACAAAGTAACCAGCACCAGCCATTAAAAGTAAGAAGCAGAAGGTAAGAAAGTAAGAATTAGAAAGTAAAAAGACAGACAGGAGCCCAGCACTGATACTCACTCCACATAAAGGAAAGACATTGTCAACCACAGATACGCAATACTTAGAGCTATGTTTCGTTTTATTGAGAAATATTCATCAATTCCGCTGTGCCCCTGGGATTGAATTGGCATCATTTTGTGAAACACATTGTCAAGTTGAGCAACAGGTGCAGACTTTACAGATCCTTTGTTATTTTTTGTTTAGAAGAATCTTTAAAAGGCCTTTCAGTCCCAGCATATTACCATATATCTTGCACTTATATTTGTTCTCATTTTATTTTACATTTAGTTACTTAATAATGTTTATGATAGAGCCAGGAAGTGAGGAAGTGCAGAGCCCAGTCATTCATGATTCGGAGACTGGTGAAATAGATCAATGCAATTCCACAGAATGTCTTCCATATTGGAGCCCAACCACTAAACAGACCAGCGCTCTCTCACTGAGCTACTGAGCACGCTGCAGTCCAGCACACCCACACTGAGCTACTGAACACACTGCAGCCCAGCACACCCACACTGAGCCAATGAACACACTGCAGTCCAGCATACCAACACTGAGCTACTGAACACACTGCAGTCCAACATACCAACACTGAGCTACTGAACACACTGCAGTCCAGCATACCAACACTTACCTACTGACACACTGCAGTCCAGCATACCAACACTTACCTACTGAACACACTGCAGCCTAGCACACCGACAGTGAGCTACTGAACACGCTGCAGTCCAGCACACCTACACTGAGCTACTGAACACACTGCAGCCCAGCACACCTACACTGAGCTACTGAACACACTGCAGCCAAGCACACCGACACTGAGCTACTGAACACACTGTAGCCCAGCACACTGACACTGAGCCACTGAACACACTACAGCCCAGCACACTGCCAGTGAGCTACCGAACACATCGCAGCATAGCACACCGACACTGAGCTACTGAACACACTTCAAACCCAATCTCTCACATTGTTCCACTGAGCACACTACAGCCCAGCACACTAAGCACTGAGCATAAAAACACTGGCCCATTAAAAGCATTTCCAGTATCGCCAGAACTGACAGAAGTGTCTTTTATTTGACGAATGGCTGTTTGACACATCCTGAACTGGGGTCAGAGGTACAGTAGCATGTGATTAAGGGGCTGCTTGGACAGATGACTTCACGTCACACACCACATTGATAAAAGCTGCTGGGGAGTGCAATGATGAAGAGAAAAACAATGCCTATGTATTAAATAGTACCATGGTGGCTATTTCTACAATATCAAAACAAAGGGAAAAAAATCACATGAACTAGAAGGCCAGACCTTATGATCAGGAGTTCCTTATGATCATTAAAACAAACCCTTTAATTA